TTATTTTAGCAGTGAACCACGGAGGGTACGTTCTTCTCTTGTAGTGGGTTTTGGGGACATGCAAGTCTAAGACTGAGTAGAGTTTTCGATAAAAAACATCTACTGCGAGATTAACGTCATCAGTTACATTTAGATTCCAATTCGTATCCCTGAGATCAGTACATACGCTTAAAAAGTCCGCTCTTTTGAAATTGTACTGGTTATTACCAAAATTATCTAGGTGTTGCATCCGACTGTGACTAAAGTTTAGATGACAATGAAGTGACGGATGGTGCAAATCTTCCCTAACCAGAGATATATCAGGATCAGCTTTAACTACATCGATATCAGCATTAGTCAGCACAAGGTCAAGAATCGTGTTATTAACATTTTGTATTGTATTGCGCTGATGCAGGCCTAAAAGATCAATAAAGTTCTGAAATTGTACATGCTTTAGATTGTTATTATTATTTTGCAAACGAATCCCCGGTAAGTTGAAATCCCCCATTATGATAAGTTTACAATTATCCTTTAGAAGTAAGTTTTTCTCTACGTTATTGTAAAAATTTTCGTAGATAGGTTGAGGCGAATTGGGTGGAAAATAGACAGAACATAAACATAAATATTGATTATCTACCTGGATATTTACCCAGATATCCTCGCCAGTGTCTGATTGCAGATTTAGCATACGTTTGCAGTTAAAACTACTTTTGATTGCTACCAAAACTCCTCCCCCTTGTGACTTGCCTGTAGTAAAACTTCTGTCTCTACGAAAAACATTATAATTAGCACTGAACAGTTCCGCATCCCAGACAGACTCATTGAGCCACGTTTCGGTTAGAACGATCACATCGTATTCTAGCTCGTTGGCCAATAGATTAAGCTTAAATTCGAAAGTCTTTGTTTTTAGTCCCCTAACATTCTGGTATAATATTGATAAGTTTTTGTTAGTAATGCACATTGATGATTTGTGGAGCGCGATTAGTTGCTTGATTTCTTGTATAAACTAGAAACTAGAAAACCGTTGTTTTTATTTGCCATATTCGTCTGTGGAATTGGCGTTCAGACTGATGTCGCTGGTCACAGTTTCGGATATTTCTTGTTTTAGGACGTTTATTAGTTTGGAGAATATTGTCTTTATTGTTCGATGCTGTAGTAGTTTGTAGATTGAGCGAAGCATAATAGCTAGTCCGTAGTGGTTTCGAGTAAACTTGTTCATTATTTTTAATGGTTCCGCACTTTGCCTAGTCATTTCGAGTAAGTTAGCGAATTCGTCGTATTTAAGACAGTATTGTTCCTGGTTGGCTTCAATTTCGTCTTTCGCTGATGCAAGAAATTCATGAATTGTCATTTGCGATTGTGTAATACGTAATTTCTTCGGTTTAATTACAGTCTTGCTACTAGGTGCTGTAAATTGGCCTGTTTCGTGTGGTTGCTCTTGGCTTGGGGCAGGGTGGTTTTGGATATCCGGGAGGTTTGGAGGGGTGTCAGGGGTGTCAGGGGTTGTTGGTGCTGGCCTCTTGTTATGAGTCGCAGTTGCTTCCGTTAGGCTTTCTGATTGATCGTGTGTGAGGATATTGGACTTGTTTAGCGGTCTTGCATTAGAGGAATTATATTCAGCAATATTTACGAAGCTATTTTTATTTTTTGGGCAGTTGATTGAGGTGTGTCCAGCTTCTTTACATATGAAACATTTCATTTCATCCCCGGATATGTATATTCTATAATCCTCGTCATTGAAGTTGATAACAATAGTTTCAGGGATTGGCGTGTTGTCATCAATTTGTATGAATACTTGTCTTCGAAAGCTCATAATGTGAAAATATTCTTCATCATTTAAGCCTGCCCTTAAGCATGATACCTTTGATGAGAGTTTTAGATTAATTTTTTTCAGCTCAGTTTCAATTACGCAGTGTGGGATACAGGGTGAGACGTTGGATAGGATTAGTCTTTTCGTTGGCGAGATAAATTTCCGTATTGGTATTAGCCGGTTTTGAACTTGAACGTGTTTGTGTGCACATATGCTGTTGACAATTTCTTTAGATTTTAAATATATGCAAACGCGATTGTTGGATATTTTCGATGCGAATAAGATGTTCCTTCCTCCTACAACTTGCCCTACGCTGAGGATACATTCTTTGGTCGGTATATCGTCTGAAATGTCTAGGACGATCGCTTGGTCTTTCGTGGGGAAGATATCTGTTTTTGCTACGTTTGCGAAAGTAGGTGAGGTTGTACTGCCGGTTTGGCCCGTATTAAGTTTGAGTTGATTAGCCTGCCTGTAGTCAGAGCCGCTATTTCCTGGTTGGGTGATGTCCATAATTGTAACTTGGTTTGTTTGTAGTGTAAAATGAGTATTTAATCAGAGCGTTTCATAAATATCATCTCGGTCGCAGTGACCATCAATGTGGCCACGCTGATACGCGATACTTTCTTATCACCTTGTCCGTTTAAGTACGTTTGTTAAGAACAATTAATATTATTCAACTTACTGATTAAATTGTTCTGACTACGACGTTAACCTGTCGTTGAGAGCTCCGAGAAACACGTCTTTCACTCACTGGAACTATAAATGATAAGTAGCACGCGACGGGAAATGAATCAGTGAGTAAATGACATGTGGGTTTGTAAAAGTGGAACTATTGTTTAATCGCGGTTTAAATACGAGAAAAGAATATTGAGTTTGCGATTTATGTTTACCGACTAAAACTCTAAATATTTCTAGCGCGTAATTAACATTACCCACGCCGAGTTACGACGGGAAAAACAATATAAGCACATGGTTGCCATAGTGACGATATAATAAATAAAATGAAATGTGTCTATTACATCGATGCTTCGATTTTAAGTAAAGTGGACATGTGGTACGCTTTCTAAGCCATCGAGAAAATTATTTACTAACTTTCAACAATAGTTCACACAAATACTATTAACTGAGCTAGCCGGTGCAATTCACATTCCAGTGTATGTTAAAATAACTACCCTAAAAAACATTTGCAATTAGCCATTACAAAAAAAATGGGTTTTTTTGAAAATCCAAACTTATAAAAATATCAATGCAATTTACCATTACGCAACAATAGTGGGAAAATCAGTATCTTACCTCCAAACGTTTTGGGGAGGAACTTCACTAGCGAAATTGAAAGAAAACCACCAAATCCTCTTGCACCTAACACACATTTAAAATTCCCTTTGTAAAATCAAATACGAGTGACAGGTAATATTCAAGTGACTATCGCTGTATCAGTTTTACATCAGTACGGATTGTAATGAGAAAGGCATTTGTTTAGGCGATCACCATCTATCGGTAGTTACATGTCAAGAAATTGCTGCAGAGAAATGATGGTCAAATCTACATTTAGCAAACTGTTCTTTTGCCTTTTACTACTACTCTGGAAAAACTTATGCTAATATGTTGAAAGAAGTTAAAATTAAAATGATCTGCCACGTTAGCTCGCGATGAAACTTTAGGACGATGTCGATCAAATTTTGGGACTTATCCCATTCTTGTATACCCGTCTTAGAGGAAATAACGGCACAAGTTAGTTCGTCGCCGGCTCGCAATGGAAAATGACAAACTTTATAGATTCTCTCTCTGACATACATATCAAACTCATCCTGAATTATTTAAAAGTTATCCCTAACTTTCTAAAATCTTTTAAAAGGGTTTTTGATTTAGAATTCCGATTTGGCTAAAGTTAAAGAGTTTGTCGGCGAACGGGTGGTGGTCTCAAAAGTTTTAGTTGCATAATGGTTATTTAGGTAATGCAGCGCGCGCTGAAGCGTATTTATTATACCTTAAGGTATCAACTTTTTTGGCACTAACTCGCTGGGAACACAGAGAGCGCGCTGTTCGGACTTAAAACTTTGTGGAGGTTACGTAGTCTCATAATTATTGTCTTTCAGGAAGGATGAAATATGGACGTACTTAGTTCACTTTCTCAGTATATGTAAACCCAAACGCTAATTCCACTTAATCTTTGTTACGACGGAATATGAATACTTTCGTGATGAATGCGATACAGAGTAATTTAATGCGGGGTGCAGTGTTTTATACCTGTCTGCAGGCGCTGCGCCGCGCCGCCGGTGGTGGTGTTGGTTTCCGCCAGGACGCGATTTAGAATCAATGTTACATGTAGAACCTTCAATGTTTGAAAACAAACTCACTTTGTTTAGATTTCATATGGGATAATCAGTCGCCCTTCGTTGTCAAATAAAGGGCGTTCAATATGCAATGGAGACTGAGTCTGAAAATATTGGCAGATTCAACTATGCACAGTGGGCTTTCACCTTCAGCTAGTGCTAATTTTGTGCTATTGTGGGTATTATGATCCTGTATTGCATGCCCCTATTTTCAACCGATCAGTAGCAAAAATGGATATGGGGCTTCTTGGTGAAGTGAAACGAAAAAGTCTTCTTGTGTTGGATTTAAGACAACATTCTTATGAGAGCAGAAACGAATTTCATTATTCTAATAGGTTTCCTTTTTGGAAATGTGTTGAACTGTTGATGTTGGAAGAGTGTGAGGTTGTACTTTCACCTTAATAGTTATATATGCCCCGTCAGCAAGGTTCGACCAGATGGCTGGATTATGCTTCTTACAAATTATGCTCAAAATTTAGAAAAAAATTGAAATATCGAATAATATACAGGGTGTTAGTATTAGTGTGTCACGCCTTTATGACCCTTTATAATTAAAATTACTACTGCCTAGTAGACATTAAAAAACCTCAAACCTTTTGTATAAAACTTTTTTTGATACCTTGTATATTTTGGTATCTACCAAATCTAGAGTTGCTCCTCTCAAGGCAGCAATAAGCCCTCGGCCGGAATTATGCGGAGCATTATACTGGCAGAGCTGATGGAACGTGTCCAAAAGGATACAAATCGAGATACGCGGTTATTTTGTTGATGACCGAATATTCAACTAGTTTTGTAACTACAATTTGGATACGTTGTCGGTCATTTATTTGTAGGTAGAATAATCTACGTCGTGACACTCCATTAATAAAAAAAATATGAAATTTGGAAACAAATTTACTGCATATTAAAGCGAGAACCAAGTCACTAGATTTTACATATTTTTGTCTGCTTCATCTTCTCCCGCAGTTCAGAATGCTTTGCGCTTTTTGGAACTCTTCTTCATTGTGGGACAAGCACATTGCTTATTGTACGATGACACCTAGAAATGAAACTAGATTAGAATTACCACCATGCTAATTAAATGAAAACCTGCCACAGCGCTCGGAATAGTTGGGACACACTTTCCAAGAGAGAGTCCTAATTTCCTTTTCATAGTAATTTTGCTATTAATGTACAGTTTCTAGAAATAGCCATCTGTAGGTATATAAGTCGATAGCTAGCATTCTTTGTGATGGACAACCTTGTGAACACTTTGGTAACAGATGAAACGTGAGTGAGTAAACAATGAAGAGAATTACCTTTTTTTACGTCTATGTGAAATGGATATTTTAGGAGCAAATTTTTAATTAAACGCCCTCGCTCAATTATCACGTATGTTAATGAGGTTTGGATTGTTTTGATAGTTAGTTCACGGTAATAAGCATTATTTACGATTCATTTTCAAATTAGAAACGGATGTTCAATTTAATTATGAATTTAAAACAAAATACGTTTTAACTTGTAAGCAATTGTTACGTGCACTTTAAGCACACGCACCAAAATTCCCTTTGGACGGTAAACCTAGGCAAAATAGCTGGGTCGGATTTGTTCTTTTCCAAGCAAAAATAAGTAAGTAAAGCGGATAGGCGCCCCTTGTAAATTTAAAAAGAGAGAAAATACTTAGTGAGGGGGGATAAGGTAGACTAAGAGATTCTTGTTCAGGTTTTGATAAAGCTAAACGGTTGAGAGGGCAACGCATGAACCAAAATTATAGTCACTTGACTGGTCACAATCGATTTCAATTTAATATATAAATATTAAATGGACTCAAAATGTTACAAACTATATGAATGTTACTCGAAAACAAATTTAAATTCAACCTAATTAGCCAAAAGAAGCAACTCGAAGTCAAAAAGATAAATGAGTTGCAGCCGCAGCCTTTCCGAGCTCAGAAGGGCGTTGTCTGCCAAACACCAATCAGATAAAACACAAACACAAAAACAGAGTGAAAATGAACAGCAGGGCATATAAACTGTGAGAATAAAATTAACAACTCAAATACTAGGAATCATAATCAACACTTGCCGACAAACAATAATAGTTACGTGACAAAGCAAAAGGAAAATTTTGTTCGAAACGAGTTATAACAAATGTCGATCAAATCGGTTATCGTTGCCGTAACGGTTGAATCGTAAAGTGTATGGAAGTATTTCAATGGTTCACAATATATTCCAAAAGGATATCGGTAATACTTGCAGTTAAAACAGGAACATGAAGAAAATTTTCGAGTCTAATAATTGCTAAGTGGGCCAGTAGTAAGTAGTAACCTAAAAGGAATTTCGACGGTTGCGCAAATCTTAACTAAATGAGGCTTTTAAACTTATACTCGTAAAATATATCGTTATAGGTATACCATTATGTGGCAAACTTCAATATATCTTCAATATCTTCAGTTATTAAAGTACTCCAGTTCTAACTTCTTTTAATTCATATTGTAACGTGATTTAAAAATTCGGGTTCGATTTATATCAATATTTATTAAACAAAACAAACACTATAAAAACCGTACAATTTATATCGATTATTTATATCACACACTTCGCAATTGATATTTCCGCGCTCGATGTTTCATACGTACTCGATCTCGTTCGGTAGTAGACTGCCGCGATGTTCGGTCCGCAACCATTTATACACGCAAGCAATGTAAGTCCAGAACATTCGCGTAATTACCGGAATATTCCTATACAAATCCCACTATCGCGCGCGTAGAAAATTCCAGAGCGCCAAAGGCGACGTCATGTCTGGAGCGTTTCCGTTACAATATGTTTAACCTACATGCCACTATAACTTCTATGTTTGAATTTGCGACAACAGAGCGAATGGGGGTAGTTTAGGTTCAATTGTCACCACTGTCTTGTATAGAGTAACTGTAATTAGAAGTACAGTGATTTTATAGAGACAGTGTGGTAACACCGTGTTGTTATTTTCTATTGGTAGATGGAAGATCTGCCATGTTTTTGCCGAATGGTATATTCCGGTATGGATTGGTAGAAATTAACCTGGAAATCAAGATAATGAATTTATCTTGCCGGACACAATTTTTGACAGCATTATTGTAACCATAGCAAAACGTAGTAATTCGGTTAAAGCAATCTGCTCAATGATAAAGTGGGAAAAACGTGACCGACATGGAGCATTATGATCACACTGTCTTTATACAGTTACTGTAATTAAAAGGTAGGTACTTTGGATGACCTCTAGTGACAAAAAAAGGAACTACGAAATGAAATCGATAAAATTGATTTAACCTACACGATCTTACAGTCATACACTGTTATACGCTACAATGTTTTTGATGATGGTATCTTGGATAACCTCTGAAAAATATTCTTCACACATCTTAATTGATTCATGTAAAATTCTTCAGTAACGCTTTGGAAACTCTATGGACTTGAAAAAAATTAAATTTATCGCAAAAGTGTTTTATAGACTTTCAAGAATTTCAAGTAGATGTCTGAAGAATTACTAAAAGACGGCCCAACAATCTTTTCGGAACTGCTAAAGTATCTAGGCAGATTCTTTGAAAATCTCCTGTGGAATCCATGAAGAATCTTTGAAGAACCGTTCAGAAGGTCTAAACCATTTCTCTGAGGCAATAAAAATGTTGTATATATGGATACCTGCAAAAAAAGGCTGAGGAAACCCTAGTTTCTGAAGAATATTAACATCTGCAGTAGTTGCTTTGAAGAATCCTTGAAGAATGTTTGCAGAATCTTAGGAACCATTGAGGAAGGTCTAAATACCTTCCAATAAATTTTTAAAGGTTTCATAAAGAGCCTTAGTCTATAGAATATTTAAGGAACCTCTTGGATAGTCTTGAAATAACCCCTGAAGAATGTCTCAAACACCACAAAAGCAGAATGTATTCCTTTGGAAAATGTATATGCCCGAATCAGAATTCGAAAGTGATACCCTCTTGACCATAGCAGAGAATTCACATCGCACCAGTCCATGCAGCGTCCTTAATATGGACTGTATCGCTCACAATTTTCTAAAATACTCCAGAGAACATCTCTGACCGACTATACCAGAATTATTGCAAAAATCCTTTTACGAATTTCTGAAGACACTTTGAAGAATTGAAGAACGTTGAAGGTACTTGCTTGAGAACAATCAAAAATCTATGCAACGTTTTTCAAGTACTCTACGAGAAAGTTCTGAAAAGTCCTATAAGAACATCTGAAGTCCATAAGGGCTGACCAAAAATCTTTTGAGAATCAATCACTAAACATTTTATTCCGGTATCCAGTATTTTTTTATATACAATAACATTTGACGAATTTTTAGTAAAAATGTCTGACGATGATAAAAATGTAATAGGAGAGTCTATAAAAAATACCGTGAGGTAGATCTGTCTTGAACAAAGATACTTCTCGTTAAAAGTGACCCAGTGACCAACTGTTCAGACTAGATTTTATTAGCGCTCCACTGAATCTTCGGAACAGTTTGCCTGGGCTACCATTTATAGACTTAAAATTGCTTCTCAAGATTACAGAGCTTCCCATTTTTAAGTGAACGTACATGGTGTCCCATTTTTGACATTTTTATATGGTATCTCATCAGTAATTGATAGTGCTATCAAAACAATAATATGGGCGTAATGTGCTCTTTTTGGGTCAAACTTAAAATTGTAAAAACAAAATTTCAAAGTATTCGCCCGAATACGAGATACGGGGGAAGATCAAAAAATTGTGAACTTCCGAATGATAATTATCTTGGTTAAAAGGGATTCAGAAGAATGTTTATTACAAAAGCTTCCTTACAATGATTTTTATAAGTTTTCCGTTTTCAAAATAAGTATACGGGGTCAGCTCAAAAGGTAGTTGTACCTAACCTTATTTTTGAATTGGACCACATAGAACATTTTAATTTAAAAAGGTAGCATATTAAACACTATTTTTAAAAACATAAGGACCATTTTCTAAAAAGATTTAAGTGATTAACGAAACTCAAAAAAGGTAAAAATAGAATTAAAACAATATTCCAATTTCAAAAATATGAATTTTGTTATATTTTTGAAAAGAGAGTTTATTATGCCATCTTTTTCGAATAAAATATACAGGGTCAAGTTCCATCGGCTCTCTCCTGTTTAGGGCGAATCCCTTAATTTCATAGCAAATAATCGGGCCCATTTTATGAGTGTGAAGTGTATGTCGACAATTTCGGAATAGTGGTACGGTTTTTTGGTTACCAGTCGTTGCCCAAACGAAGAAAGTTGTTATCAGAACTATAATTGCGATCGTTTTATTAATTTTCTGATACGTGTGAAATTAGTACCTATGTGTTTACAATCTGATTTACAGCACTGTGGTCGTAATTCGCTATAAAAAGAGACTAGCTATTATTTCCAGTAATTTTTACATTCGCACCCAAGCTCCAAACATGCACCCAATTTTATGTGGCGTGCTGCTTGCTGCACTTATGGTTTGCCGACCGCACTCATTGCACCGATTCTACTAAAATGTATTTGTTTCAGCAAAACTACTCGCGAAAATTTCATTTGGGTACGTAAACGTTTTACATTGATGCCCATTCATTTGTTTTGCTTCCCCAGGGTTGCTGAGGGAATTCGAAAATCAGAAAATGGGATCTAGTACAAGATCCTCCGTTCTACGACGTTTTGGAATTCGTGTCCCCGCAGTGTTGCCCAGGTTTTACGATGAACCCGGTGATGGGTTAACGTTGGGCGATCTTGGGTGGTCTTTCAGAGTGCTTAACCTGTGTAAAATACCAGACTTTCCAGTAAGTAATTATAATTGAACGTGGATCGATCCGCGATTATCTACACATTCGTGACATCACTAGTCCATCGCCGCGCCGCATCAACCCTAAATTTTAAGATATGTTTAAAAATTGATGAAAAATAAATAAGTAATGAGAATGGACCTTCTGATTATTATCCACTGTTGCGCACATACTCATTTTTAATTTTTGAAGACCTAGTTGTTAAAAATCTGTGCCACTCCTTACCTTTTCCTATATGCAAATCCCCTTTTCAAATACACAAATCGTGAACTGGCATTTAGAGATATTTTAAAAAATATCCATTGAATCTCTCCTGATACCGTTTACTCATAGTAATTTCCTTGAAATACAAAATACTAGGCAAAAGTCTGTGAAGCCCATTTCGAACGCTCATTAGAAGTCTTACACCAAAACAAAACCTAAAGAAGTGACACAAATCGAATCTACGAAAACTGATTATTTCAGAGATATGATGTTTTCGAATCCCAAAATTGAAGAAGTGCAAGAATAGCATAACGGTTATTACTGTCACTGTGACGAAAAAAAACACATTAACAGAAGTCAAAATTATGAAAGAATTAATTGCTACATATTCTTAAAATTAAAGTTCTCAAATTCTAATAAACTATAAAACGCCCGTTCCAACAAAAAAGTTTAATTTTAGTTTTTAATTTTTTATATTCTAAATTTCTTATTTCTAATGGTAACAAATTAAAAAAATTAATAGATAAATTAATGTGGCTTTTGTGGGTTATAATCTGGTGCGGACCTGAATCATCAATTTAATGGTACCTTCAGAAATCAAAGACTAATATTTATTCTACATTTTTATTAAGTAATTCAAAAGCATAACGTCAGACCTTGCCAGTTCTTCCAGAAGCGATTGACCGCAGACACGAAAATGTGTTGAACCGTTGGTTTTCTGAAACGAAGTTCCTTTAGGCGATCATTTATACTTACTAAATGGACTTACCGGTCGGGAAAGCTGGAGCACTACGAAAGCCAACCTTACCATTACCACTTGATCCGAAAATTACGTTACCTGAGGGTTGTATTGGGAGAAGGGCAGGTACAATTACGTCAAATTTACCTGATCGATGGAACGGGGGAGGATTGATGTAATCTCGGTTGACAAATCGCCATTGTGGTCCAGAACTATCATACGGATATCTGTTAAAGGTGAATTTAACTTGAGCCAATTTTGAAGTCTGTGCGAGGTTTCCCTAAAATAAAGGTGTAACATCGTAACATGATTCATGGGATGAGTTACATACTGAAAGTGAGGATATCAGCAGCAGAACACCGACAACTTTGTACATCTCGAGGCGAAAGTAGAAGCGCAATGCGTGAGTTCAGATACAGTGGGCCTGTATTTAAACCGAATTACGACCACTAAGTTGTAAATCACTTCTGTATTATCCGCAACCAATTTCATGCTTTAATTAGAAATGAGTGGGTACTTTTACAACTCAGAATATTAGATCACTTGGGCTTCAATAAAATTTACCTATTCCAGTTTCACTACATTTCTCCAGTGGAGAGGACAGGCGGAGAAAGAGAAGTATGTTATGCGTTTCTCCTCGCCAGTCTCTGACTAAGGGTCATAAATAGGATATTGTGAGAAAGATGTAGTTAACTAAGGATTAAATTCGCCTGATCAAACTAGTGAAAAAATCCATGCAACCATTGGAAATGATAACCGTATAGCGTCATATACACAAATATGTCGCGTATCACTTACTCCACTCGCTCGCAAGCTCACTCGTGTGGCAAACGTAAGTCTTCTGAATAATAAGCGGCATAATATGCTCGTAATGCCATCAAAGAAGATGTGCGAGAATTTTACCGTATCGACAGTATCCACGACTTCTCCCCAACCTACCGATCTCGGCGGCCGAGTACGGAACAATCGTGGCTTGATGCGACACCGTTGCCTTTTGCTTGTAAACGAAACTCGTAACTTTGTACCCATATACGAAAACATAAACTTTATTTACGGATGAGCCATCAGGAGCGCCCACGAAAATCAACGACTATTATACAGGTTTCCCCAAAAGAGACTTTTTGTTAGACGACCATCTTGTTCAACGTTTACTATAGAGAGGACCACTTAATCCTACAGCACTGGTCCAGGATTTTAGAGAGGAGAGAGGATTTGTAGCTCATAGTCCGAGAGCTGGCTACGGAAAAATGTGACTTGCCACTACATGGCTGATTTGTTGTGTAAAGTATCCTGATGCATAGTGAAGGAGAAACAGTCATGTCTGCCAGCGAGGTCCCGTGACTTAAGGTTGGGAGGGTTGTTTAAGTATGTTAAATTTTAATAAAACTGCCGATTTTCCGGCTATATTTACCTCTTTTTGTACAGGTCATCAAGGCACATATTTTTTTTATATTTAACATTTTTCGCTATGAGGCTTACTTTCTGAAAAAATTGTAAATTTAGAAAAATTATAAAATGAATATTTAAACTGTTCAATTTAAAATTTCTCAAAAACTAAGAAACCCCCAAAAAATGGTTTCTTGTGCCACATTAGCCATCAGTGTATGCGAAAAAATTACAAACATTATTTTTAAGCTGTCCTTTTAAACTTTTAACTCTCAAAAACCCTGAACATGGTAGCTGGTAACGGACTGAAACCAAAATAGGTCGTTTGCGATTCTCCATGCAATCCTATAAACATTCCAAATTTCATCAAAATCGATTTAGGTATTTTTTGAGTTATCGTGTTCATAAAAAACGAACCACATGCATACAGTTCAAAAGGGCCATAATAAGAAATTGTTTGTAATCATTTTTGCACACACTGGCAATTGGGCATACAAAACTCTACAAGAAAAAGTCCATTACAGTTTTTTCTGAATTTCTTAGTTTTTGAGAAATTCTAAAATGAAAAGTTAAACTATTTATTTTATAATTTTTGTTGTTTGCAGTTTTCTCGAAAAGTAAGCACTATAGAGAAAAATGTTCCATGCAAACAAGTATAAATTGTGCACAACTCTTGTGTAGATAAAGCGCATTTTTTTAACCGAAATAGCTTTTGTTTTGACATCACCAATGGATATATTTTTTGCAGACGTCTTAATCGCCCTTTGTGAGTAACCTCTTCCGACAATCCGTTCTTGAGTTATAAGGGAATATACCCGATCACGATAAGAGGTCGAGGAGGAGGGCTATGATTGGTAGAAGTTAATTCCTTTCGTTGAGACCTTTCATTAGAGTACCATGAAGGATAAAACTAGTTCCACCCCCCTTCCCCTCCACCCCCTACTTTGATAAGAGGACAGAAAGAAGGACAGTTGTTGGTAGAAAACGGTTCCTTTCGTTGAGACCTTTAATTAGAATACAATGAGAGATAAAATTAATTTTAACCCCCCTCCCCTCAAGCCCCGTCGCTCACTGATCTCGAAAAAGTGTCGCACGGGAAAGTTATAGTTTGTACAAATCAATTTATTTCGATGAGGCCTTTCATTAGAATACCATGAAGGGTAGAACATGTGTTCCCCCCCCCCCCCCCCCCCGTTCCAAAAAATCCAGGACTGTAATACCATTCCCCTAGAAGTAGTTCAAAACAGCAGAAATGAGTCCGGACGGACGGACGGACAAAACGCATACAATAGCACATTTTTTTTAATTCTTAAAAAATGCGCTAAAAAATACAAAATAAAGGCGCCAGAGGTAAATATAGTCGGAAAATCGGCAGTATTATTAAAATTTGACGTATTTAACCACCCCTGGGAATTTCTTTAGATTCGTTTCGAGCATTCTGCCGGCTATTCCGAATTAGGTTTCCCTGCAATTTTCCTAATTCGTAAGGTATATACCGGAGTAGTATAGAACAACTGAAGACCTTCTGCGTAAGCTTGTTGAGGGCCTAGAACAAAAGGGACAATAAATAAATAGAGCGTGAAAATCATAATTAGAGGGAGGAGGCTAAGTCTTCTAAGAGAGGCAGCTTGGTGGATGATGCACTAATGGCGAAATTTAAATCAATGACAGATTCAATCTTGCAGGTCAAGTTTACCTGGAACAGGGGGCCAAAACTGTGGTAAGCTAACTGCTATACCAATTGGATGAACCGGTCCAACACCATCCTATGGTTTTTGGTTGTCTGTGAACATATTCAATGAATTAAAGTGTAGATATTATTTGGTACGTGAAGTTGTAAATCAAATCATGCGCGTTAATGTAAGTTTATACTTCATTTCAAATGGCCCCGACTAAATTTACGTTGTGTAAGTTTGCTTGGGTGTTAGGATGTACCGCGTGACCCAATAAGACTGTTCTTCGTTCATATGTCGAGAACCGTTCATCATATGACTTAGGGGTAAAAAAATTATTGGGTAAATCGGTCATGAAGAATCGCTGGAAAACTGATCAACAGAGGGCGTAACTGCCATCATAAATCTTAAAATTGCATTTTCTTTCAATTTCGCATGATAAACTAAAAAAAAATTTTTCACATTTTTAAAGAGAACCACTTTACCTATCATTTTCGTAAAAACAAAAACTCAGTTATTTCAAAAACAATGATGGCGTGGGGCGTTCAATTGTTTTTGAAATAACCTGCTTTAACTTCTTAACCGTTTGACCGATTTTAACAAATTTGGTATGGTTAAAAAGAGCATTTCTTGGGCAATGACAATCAACAAAATATAGTTAATTTAGTTGAATCCTTTTCCGCCAGGGGGTTAGTTTTGACACTATGACCCAAAATCCTAAAAAAATCAAATGGAATGATATTACTTTTTCTTTATGAAAAATTAGCCAAATAACATTCAAAGGGGCCAGTGGAAACCGTTTTTAAAAATCTCGTTCCTAACCTCAAATATTGGGAAAATGAGTAATTAATTAATCAATAAAAAAGCTTAAATTGTATCTTAATTTACTTTTCATGTATTTCCGGTATTTGTCGATGGCGCGAAAGAAAAGCACCCTACACTTTGAGGTAGCCCCTTGGAAAATTAAACAAATGAAACACGATGCATTATAAAATAATAACAGCCGTAATTTGTAAATTATTCTGCTGCGACCACGAACCATCGCCGCCAGCATATTAAATGCTTCTTGGTTAGAAATCGGCATTTTAGAAAAGATTACACATTCAAAAGACTACACTTTCTGAATGTAAACACAGCAGAATAATTTACAAATTACGGCTGTTATTATTTTATAATGCATCGTGTTTCATTTGTTTAATTTTCCAAGGCCTACCTAAACGTGTAGGGTGCTTTTCTTTGGCGCCATCGACAAATACCGGAAATACATGAAAAGTAAATTAAGATACAATTTAAGCTTTTTTATTGATTAATTAATTAATCTTATTTTCCCAATTTTTGAGGTTAGGAACGAGATTTTGAAAAACTGTTTTCACTGGCTACTTTTTCATAAAGAAAATATCATTCCATTTGATTTTTTTGATTATTTTAGGATTGTGGGTCATAGTGTCAAAACTAGCCCCCCGGCGGAGAAGGATTCAACTAAATTAACTATATTCTCATTGCCCAAGGAATGCTCTTTTCAACGATACCAAATTTGTTACAGCAAGTTATTACAAAAACAGTTGAACGCCCCACACCATCTTTGTTTTTGAAATAAATGAGTTTTTGTTTTTACGAAAATGATAGATAAACTGGTTCTCTTTAAAAATGTGAAAAAAGAATGTTTAGCTTATTATGCGAAATTTAAAGAAATTGCCATTTGGCAGTTACGCCCTGATTTTTAGAACTTGAAAATATTTTCCAGCGATTCTTCATAACCGATTTACCCAATAATTTTTTTTTCCCCGAAGTCGTACGACGAACGGTTCCCGAGATATGCTCGAGGAACGGTCTTATTAGGTCACCCGGTACCTACAACCCTAGCGCAAGAGGCGTCAATGCTTGCGCAATGAGCTGAAATGTAGTAAATAATGTTCTTAATTTTATCACACTAACATAATACAAATTTTACTCTGATATAGCCGAACGTTCCGCTGTATCGCAGCAAAGAATGAACTATTAAAATCGGGCGTATTAAAATTACATTGTTTACATTGATCCCGCGTAAGGTTCGGCTGCATCGTGGTAAACAATGTATTTACGCGTCCCGCGCCATTTGAAATGAAATATAAACTTACACATCCGACACGCATGATTTGATTTACAGCTTCACGTGCCAAATAATATCTACAATAGGTATATAAGTGCAAATCTAGTTACCACTTCATTTGCTATCAGAAAAGGCATAATCATGCATCAAATCGTGTGTGCTCTACTCCTTACATCTTCACTTACGGTTTGTATCGTATTTCCTTTAAACTAGTTTGCACACTAAGTTTACTATCTTAGGGAAACTTCGCAGCACCAGCTGTTTCTACAGGTAGATTGGGCACCGTCTAATATTACTTTAATTCACTGAATTGATGTTCACAGACAACCAAAAACCACAGGATGGTGTTGGAGCTGTTGATGGTGTTGTACCTGTTCATGGTGTTGGACCTGTTCATCCAATTGGTATAGCAGTTAGCGTACCACAGTTTTGGCCCCCTGTTCCTCCAGGTAAATTTGACCTGAAAAATGGAATCGGTCATTGATTCAAATTTCGCCATTAGTGCATTTACCCTCAGACTATGGTTGGTTCCCAACAGTTGAAATAGTACCACAACCTATACCTTTGAATGACGGAAGAATATATCCTTATTATTGGCCGTTTTAATCCAATGGGCACATTTTGTAAACTTGGAGAAATACCTATTAGAAATCTTTATTAATGGAAAATTGAAAAACCACAAATATATATTGGATATAATAAAAGTTTATATTGCAGCAATTACGGTTTTTTTAATTACAGAATATTAGAGCGCTATTGGAACATTGAAAACTACAAAGGTAAATATAATAATAGAATTATATTGTATATTTTATAAAGCACCAACAACATTCTATACGGATAGCTGAGGTGGTCTTTGTAAATGTGTATCCACCACAACAATCAGCTGCACCTGTCAATGCCAGACTAATACTACTAATCATTTGTTGTTCGGTCGTCGTGGGGCAGCTGAAAGAGAAATAAATTTTTAAAAAACGTTCAGGAAAGGTTGGTAGCTGATAGTCGGCGAAAGGGTCTACTATCAAATACAGCACTTGGAAAGAAACTTATTAACACTCTGTAATTGGGCGTAAGCCTGTTGAGGGCCTAGAACAAGAGGGACAATTAATAAATTAAACAAAAATATAGCAAACGAGCTCCTGGGTATGGCTATAGCATGTGCAAAATCAAATTTTAAACCTGATGTTAGTTTTGCTTTTATTTAAAGTGTATATGTATGAAATTTCACTTGAATGCCTCCATAAATAAGCTGCGCATGCGCAAAACCAAATTTTGAAACTGATGTTAAATTTTTCTTTTATTCCAAGTAGTTATGTACCAAATTTCATTTAAATCCCCCTATAAATCAGAAAGTTGGCACTGCGCATGCGCAAAACGAAATTTTGAAACTGGCGTTAAATTTGTTTTTATTCCAAGTGGCTATGTATCAAATTTCATTTAAATACCTTCATAAATAAGAAAGTTTGCAATTCGGTCTGTAAATGGTCGAGATGCGCAAAGGGCACTGTGAATGCTGATCGATTAGGTTCAACTTTTGGAATTGTGTTTTATATGGCTAAGGCTATGCGCATATTGAATTTCATGCAATTCGGTTCATAACTAACGGAGATGTCAAAAGGGCCTACTTTATTTTTTGGGCTACATTGCCAATTCACGAACTCCGATCTACAAATTTGATAAAGAATCCACCTGCAAAATTTCATTGTAATCGGTCCATTCGTTTATGAGTTATCGTGCTAACGGACGGACGGACGGACGGACAGACACAACAAAATTATAAACTCGCTAGGAGCTCTTTAATAAATAGATAAATAAATAAATAAATAAATAAATAAATAAATAAATAAATAAATAAATAAATAAATAAATAAATAAATAAACAAATAAGTAAATAAATAAATAAGTAAATGTTAATGTGACGGGTTTCATTATAAGTAGTAACGTACAATTACGCTTAAACACAAAGTAATCGCAGTCTCCGGACTCTAACAAGCCATACGATAGTTGTGCTTACGGTTTGAACGAGTTACCCTCCGGCCTTCTACAAGCCACACATGCAATAAATAAAATGAGATGAATCATTTCAAATTTACTGTTTAAAGTTACTGAACTTGAAGGAGACAGGGCCTCAAGTTTCATTTTTGCTGGTTGTTTCTAAAGTTATACCTACCATAACGATAGAGGGGACAATGTTAGGTGGGAGATTTTATGCGTTATTAGTTTATTGTAATACAGTGACGTTACCAGAGCCTACTGTAACTACATAGGCTCTGGTTATACAGACAGTGATATTCATGTAGAAGTAGACATAGGGATTTCCTATAGGAATTTCCTATGTCTAATTTGTCTTCGGAACGACGCTTAACTTTATGCAAACCAAAATAACTACCTACAACAAATGAGGATCTGTCTGTCATATTAATTAATTTGAATATAATCGCTTTGACTTCCGTATTCTAATTATCGTTCGTATGCCATGTATTTAAGTAAAAAAAAGTTGATATTTCCAACTAGTATAGGGCCGGTAACAATTAAAGAAACTTAAGAGACTTATTTTCTGTGAAGCCAAAGAATAATTAATATGACAGCCAGATCTTTGTTTCAAGAAGTTGTTTTGGTTGCATAAAATTAGGCGTCCTTCAGAAGACTTTTTATCATTTGAAAGTAGAGATAGGAAATCCCTATGTCTACTTCTACATGAATACCACTGATATAAAGTCACTGTAATGGTAATTGATCGCCTAGCCCCCTATTAATAAAATTTCCAAGAATTATTGTAGATTTCTCTACAATAAAATTTCATATTCTTACATCTCCCCTTCTTTCTCAAGAACATCTTTCCGCCTCCATACTCCCATTTCTATGGCTGATTCCCTGGGAAGACTTAGCCTCCTCCCTTTAATTCTTATTTTCAATCTTCTCCGGTTGTTCTTTTGTCAATTGTCGACGACCAAGCGTTGTCGGTTGTGTTTGAGAGCCCTACAGATTTCCTCTGTTTTGCAGAAATCTCGTGGCCGGTTCAAAGTTTAGTGGTGCGATTCCATGTTTCCTCACTGGTAGTACGATGTCGGCCATTTCCGTTTTCATTTCCCATATCTCCAAACAAGCGGCTCTCAAACTCTCTTCGGAGTTGGTGGCTGTGGCCATTCTATCATGAGCGAAGGCGTGTTAACTGGTAACTGGTCTAGTAACTGGTGGTGTAAACCCTGGTGGGGTTTTTATATTGTTGAGTACTTTTGGTAGACGATCCTGGTGACGATATTTGTGGGCTTCCAAACAGCTCACTCATCATCTTCGTCATTTGTTCCATCGCTGCTAACGATCGCACCTTTATCCTTATAATGTAAGCTAGTGAGGTCCCTGTTCTGCATCTTTCGTTTAGAAGCCAAGGATTCATTCGTTTGTTCACCGTAGCCATTTCCTGTACACTAACTTCTTGTGTAGCACTATTTAAAATTTCTTCCTTTCGGTGCCCCTCCATCCCTATCCCTTACTTCTTCTCCACCTACCTCCTGATTTTCCTGTTTCCTAGATCTATCACCTCTATGATTATTGAAGAAATTACTTCCTTAATTTTATACGATCCCCCAAATTTTGGCGTTATCTTACTCGTAATACATTTTTCCTTGTCTGACTCTATGAGTCCTGCAATACACCGTATCCCTTGATCACCTGCTCTTGGTCTATACGGCCTACTTCTTAAATCGTAATAATCGTTTTGTTCCTTAAAAGCTTTTGCCAAGGTTTTGTCTTACCTCTTTCAATTTTCTTTGTTGATTTCTTTGTCCATCGGTTTTTAATTCCTCTTCACTTTGTTCTCCCTCCAGTTCTTTGGTACGTGTTCCGGTTGGTAACATCTCCCTTCCAAAGTTCAGAAAACTTCATAGCAAAGGCTATCTCTGATAATTGTGCGTCCCAATGTTTGGCATTCTCTTTGGCCGTTTGGGCAATCATTGTCCCAATTGCCCTCTTCGCCCTCTCTACCGGATTGGCTTCCGGTGTGTACGATGAAGTTAATTGATGTTTTTTTATTCATTGATTTATTATAGGTCTTAATTTTTGAGTGGGCGGGGTTTCAGCCAAGACTACTGTACCAACCCAGCCTACTTTTAGAAATATCCTAGTCCGAATCCGGATTGGAACCAGGGACCCTTAGTACCGCAGTCAAGCTTCAACTCAACTGCACTACTCGGGCCGACCGATTCCCTATTCTGCCAATGCTGGTGAATTGTACCCCATTATCCGACACCACCATGCGAGGACTTCCATACCTCTGTATATAATAACTTCTTTAAAAATCCTAATTATAATGGCACTGGTAGCTTTTCTCAGGGATTTTATTTCCACCCATTTTGTAAATCTATCTTGAAAACAATTCCTCTTGCTTGACCTGGGAAACGGAGCTATAATGTCTACACTTACACTCCTCCATGTTTGGCCTACCTTAGTGAAATATAATTAACCGTGGGTTTTGTGTTCGTATTTCAAACAGGTGTCACGTTTCCTTACATATTTAATTATTTCTTGAGTGCTCCTGGGCCGGTAACAGTTCGGGAATACCTTCTACATCGTTTTCGAAACTCCTAGGTGCCCAGCGGTTGGATCATCATGACAGTCCTTAAAATCCAGGGTCTCTGATGTGTTCGTACGCACAATTTCAAGGGACTAACCATCGCCTCTACCTATGATGAACATATTTAGGGAAAAGAATGGTATATGCTACCTTCTTGTACCTTGTAATAAGGGCGGGCAACCTTTCGGATGGTTTCTAATTTTCTCCATATTTTTGGCTAGTTAAATATTCATTTCGGATACTATTTACGCCATTTGTATATTTTTCTTAAAATTCTATGTAGTTTAGATTATTGGCATTTGGTAGTTTATTATTCTGCCACTAGAGGTCACGCAAAGTACCTTTAGTTTAAATTTTTTATTGATTTATTTCCCTAGAGAGCTTCGGTTGTTGACTTGTAAATCGTAATGCTCTCATATTTTTTACTTTGATTATCTTCGTCGCACCTTGTGATATTTCTGTGAAGTTTCCTTTCGTGCAGTATTGTTGATACGCTTCATTGAGAACGCACTTTGCGAAGCATTTAGTCCCGGTAGGTAAGTATTTTAAGATTGCGCAATGTTGCATTAACATTCAATATTAGTCCCTCAATTTGCGGGTTAAATTTTTATTAAAATTTGTTTTAAACGGTATGCTAGTTGTTTATTGGTACTGATATCGTCACTTGTTTTACTGACGCTACAAGATACGATTGCGTGTTCACAAAATTCCAACTTCTCATGGGCAAAATGGGGATGGGCGATTGTTAATCATACAGCATTTACAAACTTACATCCATCAAAGTTTTAATGAAATTTTTTTTGCGATAGTCCATATCTATGTATATTCAATTTATAATAAAGTCTCCAAAAAAACTAAGTCCACGGGAAAAACCTAGGTAATATTCATCTAGAAAATTTTTTAAGTCCAAGATAACGGACCTGAATTGCCGTACGTTAACTGCTTTACCAATTGGATGAGCATGTCCAACACCATCCTGTGTTTTTTGGTTGTCTGTGAACATCAATTCATTGGATTAACCTAATATTAGACGGTGTTCAATCTACCTGGTACAGCTGGTACTGCGAAATTTCCCTAAGATAGTAAACTTAGTATGCAAGTAATTGAAAGAAAATTGGATACAAACCGTAAGTGAAGATGTCAGGAGTAGAGCCCACACGATTTGATACATGATTATGCTTTTTCTGATAGCGAATGAAATGATATCTACATTTTTGTATTTATACCTATTGTATTTGGTTTGTGAAGCTGTAAATCAAATCATGCGTTTGGAATTACGTGTAATTTTATACTTCATTTCAAATGGCGCGGGACAGATTTTTTAATTACTATTGCAATACCTGGTTCGATCGTTTACTACACCAATTTACATTGTAGTTGTTGTAGCGTCACGTAACAATCTGTACTCACCATTCGCCATAAACACTGTGACGTCACGTTAACATCGCGCGCGCTCGCCATCCGTCGTAAAAACGAAAACTCCCACTCATTAGCGCGCATGTGCGACGGATTTATAAGTCGATTCCCAAACGGAAGTTGTCATTCGTTATTCTTACCTTGTTGTCTAGCAGGTGAAGCAAGGCCCAGTAATGCCTCCAGTGTTTATTAACCTGGAGAATTTACCGCTTCAGCCTTTTGATATCCTGCAGTTGAACAGCGTTTTTTAACCTACGCCCCAACCTGGGTAATGTTTACTCTTCAGCGTTCCTCGGCCTGAAGACCAAGCCCGCTACCGAGCATCGACATAACAAACGCACTGTACCTGCGTGCTTAAATCCGTCAAGGTGCACCACGTCTTCCGCTGACGTGTCAGTTCAACAATGGTGCCAACAAACGACCCCAGAAAGTACGCCATCCGCCAGAAATTCCTCCGAGTAAACGACGCTGCAAAATTATTAATTTGTATATGTTGTAAATAAATCATCAATTAAGAGAACCAAAATTAAGAACACCAGCGCAGCCACCATTTTTGGAATGTAACGTCATCTTCATGCTTGCATATGCAATTAAGGATAACCCGTGGTTGATCAAAATTTTGTTTTTGCGTCGAAAGTCATTCGAATTATTGATTCTTATTGTGTATTAATTAGTTTTTTTATACACGATTGTCTCCGCAGACGTTAGAGATTCCTTACGCAATATTTTATGTACGGTGTAATTCACTACCCTTTTTACTGGTTTGTTGTGTTATTGTCTGTTACAGATTTACAGAATGCGCTCTCTTGAGCTCAAAAGCTTGCGACCCGAAGTTCAAAGGTAATCTTTATGTTTCGTCGACTCCTTGATTAATATTTGATTACATACTGATTTTGGAGACAATCGAATCTCCTCCTTTGTTTTCTGCCGAAGCCTATTTTGATATTAAAATTTTCTCTGACTACGTGTTGATCCCCTTTTACTAGAAATCAATTTAAAATCAAACATTGACGTAATAGGTCTATATATTAGAGTGATCTGTTTGCAATATTTTTAGTTCATTGACTAAATTATCCTTGATTGTGACATCAATTATTATTTATGTTAAGTATTTTATTCTTTTGGCTTTTCAAGACCCAAACAAGGATTTCTTAGTCTGTCTTATGTAAAAATTTCACAGATTTGGCAATCCATCGGAGATATTGGACATGATAACCGTATAGCGCCATAATGTAAAACACAAATAACCCTTATTCACCCGGAATCACTTAAACTTTCAAAGTCATAAGCCTCATAACATGCTCGTAATCCTATTAAAGGAGATGTGCGAGAATTTTAAATTCGGATTAACAGAACAATTGCGCACTATTAAGTAAGTACCGTATCGACAGTATCCGCGACATGCCGATTGCGGCCGAGTGCGGTACAATCATCACTTGATGCGACACCGCTGTCTCCTTTTTCTTGAACTAAACTGCTAACTTTATACTCATAGACAAAACATAAGCGTTTCCAATGTTAAAAATAAATCCATCCATAGAAAATCATATGAAATTCAAATACGATAATCAAAGATTTGAAAACGTCTTTGGATTGCAAAATTTGAATTTTATATCACTTTGCGAGTTGAAATTTTTAAATTATCACAAAAAAAACTTGGCCATCGATCGGGTGTAACGAGTTATGTTCTCCCTTACGAAGCATAATTATTGTTTACGGTTCATTACTTGTTGAAAGTTCCTCGTAACAATTGTAACGATCTGATAAATGGCTCTATCTATTATTGGAACCTGATAACGCAATTTTTCGGCGCAATTTTGACGGCGCATTTTTGATTGACGGGTTCATCCTTTTCCTTCATAAGCCGTATCGAAATACACATCGCTTAATCAGTGAGGCAGAACGCATGGAATTGTAATTGCTATCTTCCGTATATATTAATTTCTGGCGATTGGATTCATCATTTGGGGATTCCGATGTAATTAGTGGACGAAATTCACCTATGCTCCTAGGGAGGATTAACAATTGCTTTCTTTCTTTCTTATCGTAAGTATCGTTATGTGCATTTCGTTTACTTAAAGTGTACCTTCTTTAGGTTTCCTGTAATTTGTTGTAACTACTGCAATAATTATTGCTTGATCTACAACTAGCCCGGCTTATTTAAGAGGTAAGTAAATTTTTATGTCATCAACGAAGGGCGGAAGATCTCAAGTTCTTATTTAACTCTTGACATGGGAGGGAGGGGGGAGTGCCAGTTGTAAATTCAGTGTCGATAGGATTTTCTTTTAGTGCAATAAAAAGGAAGAAGAGCCAGAGGAAGAAAAATAGTGACACCTTACCGGGGAGCAAATATTGCAGTGCGAGGCGCCTTTTTGGGGAGGGGGGTGTTTACTAATGCCAATTATCAAAGAAAAAATGAGCTATAGATCAGTATGTCTATCAAATACACATTAACAGCACCCAGATCTATGTGTATGCGGATGAGTTTGGTATACAAATCAGCATCATCAAATTTTTTGTCAATAGCACCACCAAGGTTATATATCCGTAGCAATGAAAAATCAAGAGATGTGACCGTGTAAATTTTGATTTTTATTTCCTTTAATTTATATCCAACAGAGTGTAACAAATCAAAAATTTTAATATACACATTCTGAAAAGGAAGATTCCTCTTAAAACGTGCCAAGCCAAGCTGTTTCAATTTAAAAATTTTCATGTGTTTCCATGGTGTATTGGTTTGCGTCAGTGGATTAGATAGTGAGGCCTAAAAATCTAAACGCAACCGTCAGCGATGGCTCATTTCGACGATCAATCAAATTCACCTGAATAATAGGGATGACCAAAGTGATGGTTGTAGTGTCCAAAGCCGCGCGCATAGTGACCATGGCCATAGTAGTCGTGAGGATAGTGCAAATGTCCTAGATCTCCATCAAACGCCGAAAATGCCGAATCTGAAAGTAGATGAATTGCAGCGAATTCAAATTGCAAATTGCTACCCACCGAAATGAGTCGGATATCCGAAGACTCCCTGAAACAATCTCACTTAGTAAAATATTCTAATGAATGTTTGTTACAAACCAGAAGCATAGACGTTAGCAACAGTCCGAAGAATACTTGGTACATGATTGACTTGTTACCACTCTTGTTGGTAGCGAAAATGCAAGTGCTCAGAGCAATCCAGATACTCCCTATTTAAAGCAAAATCCGATGACGAAGCTACGAAACAATTATGCATAACAAAAGCACAATTTAACGCTTAAATTCCGGATAAGAAGAAAACGTGTGGGATATATTAATATTTCGATACTTCGGTTCGGGCGGCCGCTCAAGGTGGCAAAAAACTTATTTTACTTGTAATTTTCTAAACCAATAGCAGCAATATCGTACGATCCAGGTTTGATGCATTTCCATAGGAAATGGGGGTGCATTATAGGAAACCCCGGATAAATGATATAGCAATAGTTAACGTTATAGACCAAAACCTAGGTCGTTTCACAGTTCATATTAAAACGGGAAGCATCAAGGAAGGAAGTCATGTATGCAAATATTAAGCTCATCTCTATCTATCTGCCATGTGTGTCAGGTTGCAGAAATCCGAAGTCTTGTGTTGTTAGCTTTAATTAATGACTCAGCCGCAAAGTATGTGTGGGTAAATAATAAAGAAAGTTATTAAATTTGCTGTTTTATGGATAAATCAGATTTCAGGAGACCTTCTAAATTAAATCTCCCACCAACATTATATTTTAACATTTCCACATACACGAATTAATTTAATTTGAATTAAACGTTTATAGAAAACCTACACAGTGATACGAATAGTTCCTTTTAAGCTAATTAAATGACCAGAGATGCCGTATCGATCATATCTCAGAATATCGCATTGATGGTAGGTACATACAGAAGATAGTTGAATTGTTCAGATAAAAGTTGGGTCTGAAAGCCTTATTCCTGTTCCTGAGGTTTTTACACACAAATTGTTTTACTTTGCACTTATTTGAAATAATTGTCAGCATGGTGTTATTGTTCATCATTTTGTAAGAATTTTCACCATCGGACCTTTTTTCGGAACAGTTTTTTGAGAGTAGTTTCCAAGTCTGCCTTCCTAATGTAAGTAATTTTGTCTTCCTGTTGATTTCCTTTTTAATTAGGGATGTGTTTAAAGACCGATATACATTTGCATAGTTGTTTCTTTGCTTTATCTCTACTTCCAGATTCCATATACACCCCATTTTGCAGCTATACATTTACTTACTAGTAATTTTCTACTAGCATTACATTATTGTAACCGTTTTTAGTGCACGTTCACTTTCAAAGGTGCACTTTTGCCAGAACTCATAGTAATGTCAGTTTCCATTAGATCATTTTCTCAGCGAAAGGTCGGAACTGCCAAAAAGCAATCGGTTTTCTGCTTTAAAAAGAAGGCTATAAAATACTGAGTGACTCCTTTTATTCTAAAAAGAGTATCTACAAATGATAAAGAAGAACAGTTTAGAATTATAAAAACAGCTGACATACGATCTCAACTGTACGTACTATACTTTAGAGTATCTTCTAACTGATAACTTTTTATCTAATATTCTTGAAGTTATTCCTGAATCCTGACACATTGAAACTATTTTTTGAAAGAGTAATTTGAAAAAACAACGCGACGTGAGCAAATATAAGGATATATGTACCTTTTGGTCGCACAGCAAAGTCACATTCTTTCCTGTCACCTGTTTTGTTGGGAGTTAGTTCGTATCCTCATAAACGTCCTTTCACTCTTCTCTAGGTTTTGCATCTTACAGGTGAAACTTTACTTCTACAAATGTCCAGCATCCTGCATCAACAGAAACCAATGTTGGAAGATGAAGCATTCTGTCAATTCATATTCGACAACGGAGATTTTAATGTTAATACACTAGATAGCAAGGGGCCGATTCATGCAATGGGTCGAATTACGTGTGCGAAGTCTAATAACGCCTTGCTTCCAGTTGAAATACAGCAATGTGCCTCCGCAGGTTAAAAAATCTGATAAAGGAGGCTTACATTACAAACAATCAAGGAAAATAATCCCTTTGACAATGGATTTGTTTTCGATATACGGTAAATGGAGTAAAAATGAAAGTATACCTGGTTGGAATGGATTCTTAGAGCAGGTAACCAGTTCTGAACCATACGGTCAAAGATTATGTGCTTTCCACTCATCACTGCACTACAGACCCCCTATAATACTGCGTGTACTTCTGTTCTACTTGCATCAAATCAGTCTAGAAAGAGTACCCACGTGTTTTGTAGCATTCGACCAACTATTATGCTAGAAAGCAAGGGACGTAGAAAATTACACTGAAATGAATAATGTTATTGTTAGATTGGGAGGTTTTCATGCGTTAATGGCGCGTATGGGGACAATAGGCCAGATAATGGGTGGATGCGGTTTACAAGTCCATTTTTCTACGAGAATAGCGTAGAAAAAATAACGTCTGGACACGTCGGAGCAATTTTCAAAAAGAGGGGATAACTTACAGGTATTAGCAAAATAGTCGGTAGCGACCTTCAAACGGTTAAATTCAGTCCAACAAGACGCAGTCGATATTCTTGCATCCTTTCGTAGTAGCATAACAGAACAGCAAGAAACGCTAAAGTTACTGTAGTCAATCCGCTTACCCTATTTCAGAGATTGAGTATGTGCAAAGAAACTGGAGGAGGACATTTTTTAACTTATGAATTAGCCAGCCGAGCAGAAAGGGATTCCGATGTTTTAATCATTACTACTGCTATCTCCAAAGCGCGCGAATTTAAAAGCGTAGTGGTAATAGGTGAAGATATTAACCTGCGCGCCTCGGGTGTTTAAAATTCTTTGAAAAAATACCCACTTTTGCACTAATATACTATTATGCGACTGGTGGTTGCTGGTGATCTGGGAACATAGCTCACTTCTCTGGATGACATCTAATTTACATAAGTTAAGCGTTGCCTTTTTTTGTTTGGCTTGTATTTGGCCTATACGTGCGCATTTGTGTTCGGAATATCAATTTCTTTGTGGAAACTTGTTTTAAGATAAAGTAATCAATTTAATCGCTCATTTTTGATAGGAGTTTTGTTAAACTGGTGTATTTCAATTTGTGTATTTCTCAATTTGTAATCAATTTGGATATTTACGCTATTCCATTGGCCATTGAGGAGATAAATTTGATTTTTTCCAATTTCATACGGGGAGAGTTGAGTTAGAAATTGAGTGGCGCTCCACCCTTGATAAGTGCACCTCAATAACAAACAAAAAACAAACAATAATACCCATTAGTTTAATTAGTTGAATTTGTTTAGTGGGCGAGGCTAACTTCGCTGACATAAACATGATTTTATCTAAGTCTTGCGGTTGGCGAGTTATTTTTAGAAAAACCCAAAACAGTCAAAAATTGCTTGATTTTTGACCACACAAATTCCGCCGGACGTCAGTCGCATTGGCAAACTGTTTTCCCTCTTTACTATTTAAATCAGTCGAAAAAATGAAAACTTATTTCCGATCCTTGGTAATCATAAAGTACAAATTTACTGAAGGCTTTATTAATTTCTTTTCGTTTTACAATCCCCCCCCCCCCCCTCCTTTCAAACTGTCATATATTTTTTTTCCGCTAAATTTTTCCCAAGTCTATATTTATTTCCTTGTGTGCCTTTGTTTAATTGTTGAATTGATGATATATGGTTTTGACCTTCATAATACGCCTTGTTTCTATGCAAGTAATGTTTTTCCAAGAAAACTTCGTATGCCTTTTTTTCAATACTTGAGAGCGTTCCGTTGTATTTGATGCATTCCCTGTATACACGGCGAGTTTCTTAAAGTGTTACAAGGCGATATCTCAAAAACGAAACGAAATATTTTTAAAAAATTTTTGGTGATGTGGGGGACCAATTTTGACATATTTTTGAACTTAAAGAGTATCATTTCATTTTAAATGTCTATCCCTTAATCATTGAGAGAAGAAAAAAATTTAAAAAACATGTTAAAATTTGTCTCCCTGCATCCTTAGTAAGTAAGTGGGGGTCATGCGTTGGTGTAAACCTTAGATCATATACTCGTGTATTCCATAAACATAGCCTTCTATGTATTTGTAATAAAGAGCATCTGCGCCAACATACCTACCAAAGACAGAGATATATTACGTAAGTAGAACATCACACATGCGCAATAACATTCGAATTTAAACAGTTGATAACCATAGGCGGCATAAAAAGGGTTTGCAGCATTGGTTTCGTATTGTCTTGTTATTCCTGCATCGATTTGTCTGAAAGCCCAAAGTCATTCTTGAAGTTGATAATTTACGAATTTCTATGTCTCTGTTTATAATTCGTGATCTCAACGAAAAACGCAGAGTATTAGGGTTTTCAACAATAGATTCGTATTACCGAGTTATTCCTGCAAATTACAAACAAAACGTTTAAGTGTATAAAATAAAGAAAAAGAAAGCTATTTTTGACGAAATAAGAAAAAAACTAATTAACGGTTAAACTTAAAAACTCGTCCACTGTGTATACTGAATGGTTTAATAACAGTTTTCGTACTACTATTGCAAATTTGGTGTCACGCCAGACCTGTTTTTCGCGATTACAATTATGTAACATTCTATAACATTAGTTTCATTGTTTAATGACTTTTTGCACTATTAAGGGATAACTAGTATAATTCACATGCACTCAAAAACAACACTGTATATAGGACGATTCACGTAGCGCGTTCGTTGGAAGTTTTTGTGGTTGAAATGGAAACTTGAAATTTGGTTCTCAACCATAATCGACTATTGCTAATGGAAGTAAAATAATTTCAAGATTCAAGATATTTTCTATTTTTTTTAAATGCGTGAATTCCATTAATTTAAGATTTGCGTATTTATCTGTCATAGTTTTTGACATATTATGTGAATTCGTCTCTAAAATTCAAATCTACGTTCATTTTTGGCAATATAAACTGAAGTTTTTAATTTCAGCGGACATTCAAAAAATGCCTTTGACTTTAAGGATTCGATAATAAAAAGAGGCACTCACTTTTTGAATTGACCCTTACATCTTCTAACGTTTAGAGAAAAATTGACGTATGTCAAAAACTATAACAGACACGTACGTTGAATTCAGAATAAATAAGAACATTTAGAAAAAAATAATGGTACGTTTCTATTTAAAAAAAACTTCCAGTATTTACGAAAGCACCAACATCTTGATATTATTTTAATTTCAAGTCGCAATGGTCGATTATGGCTGTGAACCAAATTTCCAGTTTCTATTTCAACCGCAAATTAAAAAACTTTCAAACGAATGAGCTACATGAATGTCCTTGTATATTTCGGTAGTAAACAACACCGGTGAGCAATCAGGAAATACAGAGCTACGAAAACAATAAAAATATACCGGGTGTCTCAATTAAAATTATAAAAGTCATTAACGAATGAAACTAATGTTATACAATACTATAATCAAGAAATACAGGGCTATCCAAAACTATAAATATACAGGATGTCCCATATTGAATTCAATCAGTTGCCACATTTTTTGTTGGTGCAGAGAAACTTTGATTTTTTGTGTGCCCACGATTAATGGAAATAGGTGGGGGTCAAGATATACTGGGCGTTTATCATTTAAGACGAAAGATTCAATATTTAATCTTGATATGAAAATTCTTGATATAACCTCTCTATATCTAAAAATAATGACCGTGTGCCTTAGTGACAGTGACAATTTCCACAGCAACAGTGTAAGCGGACGTTATCCACAGTATACGAATGTTTCTATTTTCTAAAAGTCATTTTCGAAATAAATGTTTATAGTTTAAATCTAGGGGAATACATTGATGTGTTGGGAATGCTGTTTTGTACTTTATTTTATAGCATATGTTAAAATGACATTTTAATAGGTTTTAATGAGTAGGCTTAGCCGTTCTTTAATAATAAGAATAGATAACGTGATCACTTTAACAGTAAGGGTAGATAAAGTGAAACAGATCAGTGTGCAGTCTAAAGACACTTGTTATTCTTATTTCAAACGCACGATATAAAATGACGTCCAGAACATTTGCCAATTCTGTTTCTATAGCAACGATTGCGACGGCAGAACCTAAGCTTGCGATTTTTGACGTCTCTAAATTAAATTCAGAATTGTCAGAAGCTTTACAATGATTTATGACTTTTGCTATAAAATAAAGTTTTGTATTATAAACGACAATAAAAGGAAACTAACCATCTCGGGAAAGTTAATATAATTATTATCTTTCACTCCATGGTTAAAATATCCCTTTATCGTCTTGTATAATAAAATAACTATTATTACTTTCAGTGTTGTAGACGAAGTACGAAAATATGACAAAGATCTTGAACCTCTTATTGCATTGGAAATCGTTGTGATGCTTGTTAGTCAAAAAGGTGAAGGTTTCTCGATGCCGCGTTATAAAACAAAAGTGTGTTATCTATTGGCGAACGTGATCTTATGTCTACCTAGTTATCCACATAGGTACGTACTCGTACATACTTAAATATAAGGGTTTCGACTCGGTATTTATTAAAAAGTATTTCAAACACAATTTATAGGAATATCATATAATAAAGCTTTATTATTAGATCAATAAAATCATATTAATAATATATTAATAATCATTTCATAGTTGTAGGTACCCAATTACTTTTCCTAGGAAAAATTTATATAAGTCAATCTCAGACACAACTCGAGCCTTTGCAAACATATTTGTTGTTGTGTCTTTGACGGGGTGGATTAACAATTCAATATTGATCCGGTGGGCACGTGCACACCTTTTTTGGCGGTGGCTTGGGTGTAACGTGTGGCGCAGGGGTAACGTGCGGCGCAGGTGGAACGTGTGGCGCTGCCGTCGGCGCCGGCTCATGTGGAGTGAGATTTATAGGTTGATCATTGGATGGAACCCTGGATGGAACTGTATTGTCCGTATTCGGGACGGGACATTCCTTTTCCTGCGGCGGCTGCGGCGGCGGCGATTGATATCCTTGGCGAAACTGGTCTCCGGAACGGCCGAAATCATTGGGTCTTTGTGGGTAATAGTCGAGCATCTGTTGGGGCACTAGGATGTCCAACAAGTTGGGGATAACCTGTAAAGTAAATTGAGAGCTTGCTTGCCACACTTGTTCTTACTTGTCCATATCCGTAGATCTCTACAAAAAATAACTGATATAACTAATTATCTGCAAGAAGCTTACTACTTACGACTTGATGTTGTCTGGGGGATGACTCCCTGAAATAAATCTACCTAGTGAAAGAAATTTAATGAATGTTTGATACAAACCAGGAGTGCAAACGCTACTAGTAAGCTGACGAAGACTTGGTACATCTTTGAATTATTGTTGTGCAACTAGTGTGGTTACTTCCACAGTGACCAAGGTTTATATACGCAGTTTGGTAGACGAGGGTGTATAGCATGACAAATGGGTAATTTAACGCCCGCCGAAGAATAAATTATGTTTATACTAACATTTCAATGCCAGCAGCGATTCCTAACAAAAACACTACATAATTTGTTTTAGTAATTATATCTAACAAAAACAGTGAATTGATTGTTTTCCGTTCTTTGAATGAGTTTCGTTTTAATTCCAAGTCTACTGCAAGTCGGTTATTAACAATATCTAAAGAAATTGTTGGAAGACTGTGAGCGAACCCATCTTCAGAGAAGCTAGCTGCGATGTTTTTGGAAAACGTCAGAAACTTTGGTGTCACGCACTGCGTACAACGATCAAGCTTGACAAACCAATAGTTTACAACGATCGAGGTTAAATAGTACCGACAATCCTATGCGATCTTGTTTTGGTTCACAAAGCAAAATTAATGGGCTGTAATAAAGACGGTTGTGAAACGCTAATAACGAGGCGGTATAAATTGAACAGTTCAAGAAAGCACGAAATCAACGAAATCTTCATTGGATTTTATCTCTTCGGTATAGGTAATTCTAATTTTATTTCTTGCTTTACGATATTAATAACTAGGTAGTTCGTCAAAAGTATAAATCCATCTTCAAAGGGGGAAACCGTAAAAAGGAGTCACAAGTTTTAGAAGCGATTCGAAATGGCGAATGCTTTTTGTTGTTGAATTACGTATAACTTTGTGAGGAGCAGATCAATTTGGCGGAAATTTTGTACCAATTGTCCTTTTGGGTATAAAAAATTGTATAGAATTCCATTGAAGAACGCTTGCTTGAAATTTTCCAAGTTAAATTTTATTCGAAATTACCGATTTTTTAAGATTGTTCACATGATTTTCCTAACATTCTCGGCAGTAATGTTGTTAAAGATTATCAGAAGCTCCTCTTTAAGGTATGTGTTCCTTCAATGATTCTTTCCAAAATTTTTTCGTACGACGCTATTTTGGATACTAAGAGAATTTCTGGACTATTTCCTCGCTATAGCGATTTTCGTGGAATTTTCCTATCACAGCATTTTGCTCTCCTTGTATTTAGTGATATGAGAGTATTCTATTTTATACGGAGTAGACGAAAATTTGCCTATGAACTTCGGGTCGCAACCTTGTGAGCTCAGACGGGCGCGTTCTGAAAATCTGTAACAGACAACAACACAACAAACAAGTAAAACGGGTAATGAATCGCGCTGCACATAAAATATTGCGAAATACAAATTCTGGCGTCTGACACTAAGTAGGTAAATCGGATATTAATACACAACAAAACGAATCAATGGTTTGAATGACTTTACACTAGTAAAAGTAAAATTTTAATCGACCACGCGTTTCTTGTACATTTACGAAATACGCACACAGTTGGTTCGCTTCATTTGAATATGTATCTCAGTGTTGTTTTTCCTTTCCAAATTTGGAAATCCGTAATTTTTGTTTAAATTTTATCGATCTAATAATTTATTAAATTCAGGTAAGGTGTTAGAAGTAAGGTTACGGTCTGGTTGTTTGCGATAATAAGTTTTGTTGTTAGGCGAAATCTAATTAACGCACGTGTTTTGGTGGTGATAACTCTGACGCAGTGGTTTCGGGGAATTGCGTGTTTTATGTTGGAGAAGTGGGGACGTTATCTCGCTGATTGGCGATTTATTTGAAAATTCTTAAAGAAGAAGTGTATCTTATGATGGAAGTGGTATTTCCTTAAAATAATGGAGACGACGAGAAAAATGGGTGGCTAGTTTTCGCTACGGTTGAAGAGCACGTACATCTTTTTTCGCTAAATTACGGGTAGTCAGTCTTATTTGTTTTGTTAAAGACGCAGTTCCTCATTATTTCTAATAAATCTGTGCAGATACAAGTTAACCAAAGTTGTGTGGGAAGTTTAACGCGTGTTTCTCGATTACGAAGCAGTTGTAGTTTGTGTTTGGGTTCAGTGAGCTTGTATTGCAAACATTGTACGGACAGATTATTTTTGTTATTAAAAAACTATCAGTGATTTTAATATCTCTTATTTTAATTGTCGAGGTAACGTCCAAACAAGCTTTTCTTTCTTTCAAGGATTTTGTTTTAATTATTTTTCATTGCGTGTCGGAATAAATTTTTGTTACTGTCAATCAATTAGTTGCGTGTTTATTCGAATCCAAAGTGTGACCCAGATAGAGTTTTCATGTTTTTTATTTTGCCTTTATTTTTGAGTGGGCTGGGTTTCAGCCAAAGCTGCTCTACCAACCCAAGCCACTATACATTTACAAATATCCATACCCGAACCCTGATTCGAACCAGGGACCCTTAGCACCACAGTTCAGCTTTAATTGAACTGCGCCACACGGGCCGGCCATCAGATTGTTTTCTATTTATGCCCAATATTTATTTCAGGTATTCCATCGTGACACTTCCTCGTGAAGTTAAAGCGTGATTGTTTTCATTTTCACTTTAATTGGATATACCTACCCTTAATTTCAAGGAAATCCTACCAATAAACAATACACAGACAAAAATTGAAGGGGAACAAGTTATAACCTAAATTCAAACGAAACTTGATCTTTTTCAATGGGTTTAGGCTCAACCGGTGCCATCGCTTACGGCGGCCCCTTTGTCCGTACGAGACATAAATATAGACCATCCATCGATTTCGAGTTTTGTACTACATTTGATAAGAACCTTTACAATGAGGATTTCCAAGACTAAATATCCTGGGTGTGTTACTCTTACAACCTCCAGGTATGAGTTTTGCACTTCTGTACCTTATACTTACTAGTTCGTCAAATTTTTTGACATAAGGCATTTTATTGCAAAACTTAAAAAAAAATGATTTTACAATGGCTGGATCAGTATTATTGTAAAGAGAAAAAGAGAGGACTTCTATCTACAAATTGTAAGAGATTCACATATACTGCTGTGTGCAATGGTATGCGGCCAAATAGCAAATCAAAATTGGAACGCCTGAAATAATTCATGGGTACGAAGAGAAAAATCTGACATGCAGACTCTATTTTGGTCGTACAATGGTTTGGAATAAACACACCATGACAAAATTTTCATCCGAAACACATTAAATGAAAATTAACACAAATTCCCCGAAAAAATGCAAAGCTTATAAAACTTGTTTTTATATAGCACCTACCTCGTACGCCGACGGTCGATAATTAAAGATAAGTAAATCGTAAATTTACTTACATTTTTTTTTCTTTTATAATCCTAAAATCTGGTTGTGAAGAGGTTTGCGATAAACTCAACACAAACGTCTGACAGGTTCAGAACTTTTCTTTTACGCAAAGTTGATGATAAATGAACTGGAATATTGAATACAATGATAAAAAAATTCAGGGTAGCTGCTCGAACAGTATCACTTTTAATTCTTAACAGACAAGATAACCTCAACAAACTGTTTTTTATCTTCAACTTAACTAACTTTTTTCCGTAAAATGGACAACGCGCTTTCACTTCTTACAACTTTTAAAAAACTACAGTTAACTTTCTTCTGCACAGAAATAGTTATAAAAATGACTAAATGCAGCTTCAATCAATCAAAACGGGCGGATACGTCGAATAAATAGCGTAAAGAGACGTACACCTTTCAACCGTTGCGAAAAAATGCCAGTTTTTTTTGGCTGCAGTATTTAACGAAACACCACCTTCACCATCAATAAACTCCTTCTTCCAGTATTTACAAATAATACACCAATTACAATTACACTAAAAAACTCCGAATGCAAAAAATCTCGCTTGAGATCCCCTCTTCTTTCTGATGAGCTTACTGTTTATTTCCATAGCGTGGACAAAAATTGAAGAGGGTAGGAATAGGATCGTGATCTTCATTTGGGACGGAGTTGAGTGGAATTAGGGTAAGGACGAGAGAGAATACGGTGAACCGGGGTGTCGGACAATGATCTTCATCGAAAACGGCCATACGCTTCCGATAACACTCAAATCCTCCGTGCGAGGAGAAGATGCGAACTGCCGCGCGTCCGTGGACATGCCTTTGGTGTAATCATTTATGGATAATAAAGGTTAAGGCAAAGGTAGTACGTCCTTTAACGGACACGTTCCAAGACCAAAGCTTTATGTGACGCATGGCGGCCGAAAGGGAAAGGAAGTCGTTGATAGAAATGCTGTCGTTAAACAGGGTATAGGTGCCGGTCCTGCGTAGGATACTGCTCCAGTAAATTTCCTCCAGGAGATGAGGAGGAGGAGAATTCATAGCATATGACGCATAGCGAAATCGTTGGGTACCGTTCTGTAAGTCCTAAATAGGTCTTAAGGAATAGGAACTGATTCAATGCCATCTTCCTGACCACGCGAGAATGCCTGAGTCTGTTAATAGTAATTACTTTGCCAGTTGTGCAACTGACAGGAAAGTAGCAGAGGCTTACACACGAATTGTATAGTTCGACGATGGATATAGGATACCTTGCCTAGTGTCCTTTGCTATGCTAGATTCCAAGTTGAATTGTTGGGAACGCATTTCAGCGTGGATTGGTTAGTCTTCTGTCGGATCATCGTCAAGAAAGAGGATATGCAAAATCGTCTCCATCGTTTGCTGTCTAGAAACAGTGTATTTGTCACCGTCGCGGACATTGCACCAAAAGTCGAAGGAAACTTGATTCGAGAGGATATGCGGCATACTACTCCCCAAGAGTTAGCCGACATGCTAGACTCATTGAACTACAACGTAACTGGAAGGGAAACCGGTATAGGCGAAGCCGTGCGACAGACCTGATAGAAGCAGAAAATTCGACTGTATGAATTTAAGTGAAATAGAAAAATTTGTCAATGAATTTAATGTTACTAGTGTGAGAGAGATAAAGATACTACCACTCGTGGGGCTTCACTAATAATATGCTTATTTCCCTTCCAGTTACGAGTATACAGTATGTTCCAGATCTCGTGGGATTGCATGGGTAACTTTCCTATTATTAAAGATAGAGAATTGGTTTAATGGACAATGTTTTGCAGTTTTAGATGCTTATTTAAAATTTTATTGTGGAAATTCAAAATATCGAATAGGTCAAGTCAAGTCAAGTCAGTTTTTACGTAAATTTAAAAAAAACTAAAATTGGTCATTTCCATGAATGTCTTATATCATCCAAAGTATAAGAGATATAAAAGAATGTTTTATATAAAACTTACTGTCTTTGATACGTTTAGTTTAGAATTGATGTCAAAAAAATTCAAGATGGCTGCTTTTTAGAAACATTTACTTCCTAAAGTTAAATAGGCGCCATATTGAATTTTTAGATTACTTGATAGATTATTTAATTTTCTTTTCAATAAGATACCAGTTATATCAACGGTTTTATATTTTAATCAAGTAGTCTGTGCTGAATTAAAAAAAAAACAAAATCTATTCGAGGCAACAAAACAATTGTTATAGTAGGCTCTTTTTCAGTATTCAGTATAATCAGATAACAAATTTCTATAGTAATACTTCTAGAATTGATAAGGGTACTTCTTTGTTTATTTCAATTTGCAAATAGAGGGAATATTACAGTATTTACTTGGAGCATATTACCGCAACGATTCAGGGCAAGGTGGGATCTTCACAAGCAGTATTCCAACTCAAATTAAATATTTTATTAAATTAATATAACAACATACAAAATACTTTTTTTGGAATTGAGGATAAACCGCTACATTTCTCTAAAGAACGTAATTTTTTTACTGTATAGGCAAACGTTTAGAGCCTATGGCAGCGACTCAATGGTTTTTTGAAATTTTGTGTGATGTAATTTTGCCAATGTCGCCAGCTTAGTTGTTGCATGTGCAAGTACTATCTTTAACAGTTGGCTTCTTATCGTACTCCTCCGCATTTGGTATTCCTATGACGTTCGCGCTAGGACTATTGGGTGGCTTGGGAATTGGTACGGGACGCTGTACGGTCTGTATTTGCGGTCGATAGTAATTCATCGGTGAGGGTTGAGGGTAACCAAAGTATGGTCTATAATAGTTATTGTACAGATCTGGATTATACAGAAGGTCCATCATGTTCGGGTAACCCTGCAACTAAAAACTTAAAACCTGACGCTTGCGAATAGTTGTTTTCTTACTTGTCCATATCCGTAGAATTCTACAACAAAAATGTATTAAAACGCTAGTCCTCCAATCATGTCGTACTTACGGGTCAGCACTGGCTGTGCGAGTACACCCTGAAATACGCGTACTTAGTAAATGCCTTTGGTGCAACAAAAGAAGAGCTACAAACCAATAAGGAGAATACCAGCAGACTGCTATACACTTGGCACATGTTGGTGACGTAAATTCAAGTGTACCAGCCGGCCTGAAGTGACCTACATTTATATGAGCGACCAAAGACGAGGGTGTAAGCAATTATGCGTAACAAATGGTTAATTTGATGCATGAGTTGCACGTATGAAAAAAATTGTGTGGGACCCTTTAATAACAATTTAATGTCAGCACAATTCCTAGTCATTTTTATAAAAATACCCTTGATCAAAACAATATAAATTAATTATTTTCTAATTTAAAGCGCAATTATTTGTCATTTGCGCACTTATTTGTGCATTTATAGTGTATCATTCACAAGGGAAACATTTCTTGTAGCATTGGGAATAGTGATATGAAATTACACTATTTTTTTAGTGAGTAATATTACGTGTAAAATTACCAATTGTTTTTTATGGTATATTATGTAATTTATGAAACTGACCATTTAAAAAAAATAATTTTACAGTAAAATTTCCAGTAATTTACGTTTTTTACGTAATTTAAACATATTTTTGTAAAATTACCTGTCCTTTTTGTTTTTTTTGTTTTTTTTTAATATACTGTAAACCATATTTGGATTATGTGGGTGTTTGAAAACAAAAACAGTTGTTAAATTTTATATATGTTGGTGTATTAAATAAAATACCCAAGCAGTAGGTATTTCGGCGTGACGCGTATGTTTATATTTTTTATTTTATAGCACATATGTTACATTGACATTTTAATAGGTTTGAAGGAGTAGGCTAAGCTGTTCTTTAACCGTGAGGATAGATAAAGTAATCACTTTAACCGTTAGGGTAGATAAAGTGAAATAAATAATGAATAATTCTAATGACATCTGTCATTCTTATTTCAAATGCACGATATAAAATGACGTTCAGAACATACGATAATTCTGTTTTTATTGAAACGATCGCGACGGCAGATCCTAAGCTTGCTATTTTTGACGTCTAAATTAAATTCAGAATTGTCAGAAGCTTTAGAATGATGATATGATGATATGGCTTCTGCTATAAGGTAAAATTTTGTATTATACACGTCGATAAAGGGAAACTAACCACCTCGTGAAAATCTTTCACTCAATATTTTTGAAATATTACAGCCTGGAAAGCTGATAGAAATGATGAAAATGTCGCTAGTTTGATTATACAGACCGTTCCTAAATATGATGTACACACAGAAGGGGTTAAACTTATTATAGCGAACATTCCAGAAATTTCGATAGACATCGAGGCGCCATGAAAGATGGCCCCTGAAGCTTTATAGAGCAGCTGACGGTGCAGACGATTATCGACGGTGTTCGCGATGTGGGAAAGCAACAAGCTTTTAAACTTGCGCGACATGAGAATTTGGGTCATGCTCTGGAGTTTGATGCTACAAAGAATACGTCTTGTGGTAATGCTAGCGTGATCGGTGAAAAAGATCTAGCAGAAATAGTGAATAGAGCAATGCGGCGAGGGCTGCGATGTGGGTGCAGTGGTGACAAGCAGGACAGAAGAAAAAATTGTTCTGACATTACAGTGACCAATAGCCAGGGAGAACAAGGACGAGTCAAAGGGAAGGAGCGAGCAAGTTGTGTCCCGGAGAGACTGTCATCTAAGTCGCAACATTGAAACATGAAGATACGCGACGCACGGTACTTGTAGATGATGGTTGGGCACCGCAAGAACTTCCGACGGCTCAACGAGATGGCCGTGATCTACGTTCAGTGATAAACTGGAAAATGGAAGAGAAAAGGTCAATCTGTAAAGAGGTATCTCGATACGGTCCAATTTTAAAGGCGTATTGGTCTCAGTGGAACCCGTTACGAGGCTTCCAGAAAACACTGGTTAGGGTGCGGGAACGATTCTACTGGGTAAATTGCAAACAAGATGTGAAAGGATGTTGCAGAAAATGGCCGATTTGTACCACATTTAATCATGTGGGTACTTCATTTCAAAGAATAACCAGTAATATCGGAGGCCCAAGAAGCGCCAACTATGATAGACTTTGTAGCATATTTGGAGTACCCCTGGAACCACACTCGAACCAGGGACGAAACTTTGAGTCGGCGCTATTCCAAAGCCGATGTCAACTATTAGTCTGAGAGAGTGAGAGCTGGTAGACATTGTTGGGTAGGTATTTGAGGCACGACGAAAACTTGTCCAATACTTCTCCAATAATATCTAAACACAGAATTGCAGACCTGGCTGAGGAATAGCGGGGCTAAATCAACCCGTACATTTTTTAAGATACGAATTTTTTTTTAGTTTTTAGTGGGGCCTTACACTTTGACAGGCGCCTTCAAGGTTTGAAAGAATGTATACTGGCCGTCATACACCCAGTGTATTTTGATGAAAGTTTTAGGACAACAGTTTTAAGAAGGGGTCAGTGTAGTGAACATTCCCGAAAGTCATGAAAGATTAGTCATCGGCGATAAAGAACGAAGGCGGATGTGATGCAATCGTTCCATTGCTTTCCAGTTTGCTATATAAGCAAACAATAATTGCGTTTCCGTTGAGTTTTAATTTCAACGCCAAAGTAATAAATAGTTGTCGTTATTATAAATTGTGTATGTGTGAGATAAATAATATTTTAGCTGTTATAAATTAATCTATTTCAAGACCGTTACAAATTTAATGTTTTTTATTTATTTATTTATTTTTAAGTGGGCGGGGTATCAGTCATGGCCGTTCTACCAACCTAACACATTTACAAACATCCATGTCCGAACCCAGGAACAGTGGAAAAACTGCCAAAAAAATTTAATTTAATTTAATTTTTTTCTCAGCAACCATAAGAGTTTCAAATATTAAGGGCGCGTTTTCGAATAGGTTTCCCATTGAAACTTGAAACTTTGACATATGCCTGGTGTCGCCGCCTCTCCCAGGATTTAGCGATTTTGCAAACAAACTTTCAAAATTCCTATCACTCCCAAATAAGTGTGCGAACAAAATTCTGATTTCGACGAAATTTGGTATCTGGGGGTTTTTGAACATCAAAATCACGAATCTGAAAATTCGAAAAAAAATTCCACTAAAATTCTTAGTCGGACAACGAAAACGGAGAGAATTCCACCAAATTTATTGTGTACATTCTTGACGAGTTAAAGATGAAAATTGTCGAACAGTTTTTTAAAATCACTTTTCAAACAAAAGACAAAAAACATTTGAGAATTCACACTTCGGGTCAGAATCCTCATTAAATGGTATTAAAAAATTTGAAGAAAGATTCCAAGAAGATTGTGCGTGTTTGCGGGTGGTGGGATCTTCGAAAATGATTGAAATGGGAGTTCCATAACAATAAATAATAATTTCCAAGCATTTTAGTATCTACTTGTCGTTAATTTTTTGTTATTTGCAACATTTTCAACTAACCACATGCGAACTAAGATTTATTTTATTTATTTATTTTTTTAGTCTTCATTTTTAAGTGGGCGGGGTTTCAGCCAAGGCTGCTCTACCAACCCAACCCTCTATACATTTACAAATATCCATGTCCGAAACCGGATTCGAACCAGGGACCCTTAGTGCCGCAGTCGAGTTTCCACACCACAGGCCGACGAGCTGACTCACTAGTAGGCGTGGAAGTCGTGTGAGCGATTCGAAATGACTTTTGTAATGACGCCACCACGAACTTTGCCGAAGGCGTATTTAATTAATTTTGGGATTATTTTAAAACGAAAAGAAACAAGAGGGGTCCCACAAGTGTGCGAAAAAGAGTTTTAAAATGGGACGGTAGGGATTTAATTTTCAATGATTAAGTTATTGAAGAGAGAAAGAGTTTTAAAAGCAACTCTCGTTTGTCGCTTGTAATGTTGGCTGCCTATAGATATCTATTTATTTATTTATTAGTTATTTATTTATTTATTTATTTATTTATTAATTTATTAATTTATTAATTTATTAATTTATTAATTTATTAATTTATTTATTTATTTACTTATTTATGTATTCATTTATTTATTTATTTGTTTATTTATCAATTAATCAAAGTTACTAGTATAATCCAGTATAAATAGCAGAGAGACCTATAAGGCGACCGCAACGTCCGCCACCAAACAAAAAATTTTTTTAAAGAAACGGCGCACAGAAGCTGACGATAGGCGCACAAATTCTTACAAAACAACCACAAAAAAATATTACATAATATGTTCTAAGGCACTAACAGAAGATTTTTACTGTCTCGGAAACGAAAGGAGCATAAAACTTAGAGATTGGCGCAGAAATCAGCACAAAATAGGCACAAAATTATGACGTAGGTTTCAAATCGCTCCGATTGTGAGGGGTGCTGCGATAAGTTGACACCCACTTCACACATTTTGAATTTCTCGGAAACGAAAGGCGCACAAAATTTTAGTATGAGCGCTCAAATCAGCACAAAACTATAGTCTTAGTTTTATGTCGGGACACGGATTAATTTCTTCGAAATGATAAACGCACAAAATATCCATAAATCAGCACAAAGCAACCACAGTATTTTGGAATGCCGATTAAGGGGTACTAACTTAAACCACCTGAAAAAATAAACAGTTCAAAGTCACAAATTTATTAAATTATGTACTACAAACACTGCGCAAAATTATTTGATCTGTGTGATAATAATCTTAATCTCCCCGAAAGGTCGTCAAGTTGTTTATTTAAGACCTTTTTGTACTTAGAGAGACCTGGTATCATTCCGAATCTCTTAGTTTTTCTCACTGCTATAAATCATGGCTGGCTTCACTATAGATTTAAAAACCCTTTCTTTAACCTCTTTCCTAATCCTTCTGTCATATACAGTCTCCCGTTATCTTTTTCCACTTCATCCACTCTGCACCGCTTCATACGAATAGTAACAGGGTGTAGGTTTATCGGTGACAGCCAGACGGGATTGAGAACGCGTGGGTTGTGCGATAGTTGGTGGAAAATTCGTGAAGCTTACGCGTAACGAAGTACCTATTTTCCGCTAGTTTTAAGTTTACTAGCTTTAATGAACACTCGGTATCAGGGGGCGCTTCGTTATGAAAAGTGTCGCACCGAAAGTATTGTTGGTTTTGGGATTTGAAGATGGAAGGTAAAGGTAATTGATTGAATTTCTAAAGTTGTGTTTCAGCCGCCGTTACCGTAAACAAACGCTGTAATTAATTCGCCGTTTGCAACCGTTCCCGTCAGCTTGTTCAATTATTTTCGTTGCGCCCGAAAGCTCCTGTCATTATTAGAAGGCGAAGACAAATTAATATTTTAGATTTCAACCCTGTTAAGTTATTTAAAATAAAACGAACATTAAAGCTGCAAGGTCATTCAGGTTTGACAAAGACCTTTTGCCTACTTGCGAAATTCCAATGGGGATTAATTAGAAGTATGAATTTAGAAATTTCATCTCGCACATTTCAGGGAGTATAATTGACTGTAGCTAATTTGATTAGTTGCAGTAAACAGCTTCCGGTTAAATCGTGAGTGGTCTCCAAAGAAGCGCATTGAATTAATGTACATTTTAAGATCAAGCACAGATTCTTAGGACGTCAGGAGACCGCAAAATTAATTAAAAAAGTTCTTATCCGAATACACTGGGCTGGTTCGGGAATCCGGCGTTCCATCCATGGCATGACCGAATTTCATGAAAAATAAAGCACTTGTTTGAAGGGGATCTTTTACCTTTGGTGTAAGTTCCACATTAATTTTTGATATCTTACGCAAATTTATTTTGCATTCATATCGTTTTATTTTTACCGTATTGTCAACTGTTGCTTGCACAGTAATTTCTACCGCTCCGTTTTATTGAAAGGTAAGCTTTTTCCTACTTTCTGTTCCATTAATTATAAGGGGGATATTGTTTCTCTTCCCTGCATTTCATTTGCCGTAGACACCGCTAACTAATTTGTGTTTTGTTGCTTTCCTTCCCGGTGAGTTTTCCGTATGGGCCGTGTGCCGTAATTTTGTTTTAAGTCTTCCGAGGTGACCGCCGGCATTTGTTAAACTCATCCGATTCCTGGAGCTTTGATTGAGTTTACTCTGATTGAGTTTACCTGAGGTTTTTAAGACCATCCCGCAAACCTCTACTACCGCCATTTTTTTTTGTAATTAAATTGTAAACTTTATTCCGCTAATTATAATGTTTAGTTTTAAATACTACAGAAGTTCGACGCATACTTTTGTTCCGTTTTCAGGTTCGCACGGCAATAATGACTGATAGCGAGAATTTCAATCGCGGAGTAAGCGAAGCGGGCAAAATGTTAAAAGTTAAGGGCGCAGCTACAGCTTACGGCGCGATTCATTTGCAGATATGTCGTGGTTTTCCTATTTCCCGCAAAGAAAGAAACTGCGTATACCAAAGAACGCTAACCATGCTCTAGGGGAATTTTCCACTACGAAGGAATTTCTGGAGAACGACGCAACTTAAAAACCGTAAGATTACCGTGATAGAAATTTCAATGAGTAAATTAAGGTTTCCATTTTGTATGCATTTTAATAAGACTTGACTTTTCACTGTTAGATTATTTATTGCTGTCAAATTATAGTGTTAGTTAAGGAATTTGTAACAATAATAATCAGTTGTGTCTGATGTTGTAATTTGCGTTTTGTGAAATGATGGAATTACTAATTTGTAAAGTCTATTAAAAAGATGGCTATAATAGAATAATGTAGCTGCATGAGCTGGTCTTCTGCAGCCTATATTCAATCACTTTACTTCTTTCAGTTTAGAAAAGACGTGTTCGTGTTTTTTATACCGAATATTAATCGCATGAATTTTGCATTTTTGTATTCAGGCAATATCCAGACTATCAAGGCCAGAACCATAGACCATATCTCAATAATTAAGTGTGCTAAGACAAACGATTCACATAAAATCACTTTTCAATTCTGGCGTAATAAATCTCTATTGTTGTAAATTAGTATTGCAAATCAATATCAATCACCAGTTGCTTGAAATCGTATATCACGGTCCATTTGCAATCCAAAGTTTTTAACGTAGCGCTTCGGTTGTAGTAGCGTGTCATTCATTTTAATGGTATTAATGTGAAGGTATCTAAGTTTTTGTGGCCCATCAGCACAAATGATGATTTTTGGGCAACCCACGTGTTTCTACCATCTCTATCAGAAACTTGGACAACCTCTGAAGTAGCAAAATGATGAAGTAGCTGAATTTAACGTGATTAACCCCATTTTTAAAAACCGAAGTGTCTATAGAAAACAGGAGCGGGCCCAAAACAATTCCCTGGGGCGCTCCCGATTTTATTGTAATTGCCGGAAACATTTACCCAAAACCACATACCTTCAAGAAAACTTTGTATTAGGCCGGCAGCATGAGTACTAACCCCTGGTTCTATGCAGCATTAAAGCTTTTTCACATAAAAATTAATTTTTAGATGTGTTGGATTCAGTGTTTATGAGGAAGATATGAGCACTGCGCGGCTAATATATATGGCTTGTTAAATGTATGATCTGTTTGCAGAAACAGTCCTCGATTTATACAGGGTGCGCTCACAAAGGACCCCCCTGTATTTGAATGCGTTTTTTAAATCTACGTGTAATTGTACGATTTTTTTTTATTCTATGGTTAATATTCGAAAAACTAGCAGTTATAAAGATAATTCGATTTTTAAGAAAAATTGGGCATTTGCAAGCGTCAGTATATTGTCAAAATTATTATTATAATTTTGATTTCAAGTTCTAAATCTTTTATCCTGGGTAAAGTAAAAGTCAACTATTATGAAACATTAAAAAAAATAGCTTATGGTTTTTTTGTAGGTCCAAAGTTACAAAACCTCATATTAAAAAAATCTCACTTTGTTTAAATAGAACACCCTGTATATTTTTCTGTCATCTTTTAGCTCCTCCAAAAACCTTCGCGAGTTACTATCTGAAGCACTGTCGAGGTGTAAATACCACCGTACGTCCTCTATGTTTAAACAAATGTTTTCTTCTTCTCTCTAGGGGCGAAGGGGTAAGGAATGTAATATGCACAATGTAGTCTCAAGTTTATTGAAATGTATTACAATAACAGTGCGGACTTTCTCTGAATTTGCACTATTGTCGAATTTATAATCCTATAGTATAGTCTATATTTTTGTGTTTTCTGCAAATCCTAAAATCCAATTACGACAACATCCAATATTAACGAAACGCAACAAATCGCGTGCACCTACCTACTACTGTTGCATTTATCAATTCATAGATGAGTCTACTAAAAACGTCAGTCCAGAATTTCCGTTGCTGGATTTTTTGAAAGCCTTGAGGATCGACCGATCCATTACGTGTAGATATCGAGCTTTGTTGCGCTGGAATCAGACGAAAGTTGTTCAGTGGTAAAACATATTGAAAGTTCTGCAAGTGAAACACTTAGGAACTTCTCTGGTTCGTGTCGAATTTAATCTACCCCATGTTCTGGTCCATGTAAAGATGTCGGTAACACAGCAAGTTAAATAATTTTCAAATTATCGTGCCTGTCTTTCCCAAATTGTATACTTACGATTAGTGACATGCGCATACGTTCCCTGTAATAAATGTACTGTATGAAAATTCGTATGGAGGGTATGGTACAAACCAATAAGTGTAAAGTTATTAAAAGACCGTAGATCAATCGGTACATCATTCCAAGATGCTCAACAACCAAGGTACAACTGGCTCGAATCACTCAAAAGTGATTTGTATTTAAACCAAACGTTGCAATCAGTATTTTCACGCTTTAATTTTAAACCAGAGTAAATATCCGTGGGTTATTACTATTATATTGTGGACTTTATCTAAATGTTTCGCGGTTTTGGTTTAACAGATGTATTTATGAATATGTTGCAAGCTAATAAAGTAAACTGAAGATTAAAACAGACTGACGCGTCCCAGGTAGCACATAATCTTGACATTTCAAAGGGGATATATAGGCTCAATATAAATATGTTGGCGCAATATTGCATAGATAGTGTGCTTTTGTTTCCCTTAAGTTTCTTATGGGATTTTCTTCCACAAACATTAAAACATTCAGTTTCATATCATCCGATAAAAGTGACGGTTGTTTACAGTGTCATGTGGATCGCATTTAAATACTCACTATGATCGGCACTATACCAATTCAGAATATCAACTTTTTCTTCAGCTGAATACATCGTACACGAATAACAATAAGAAAGCCAAAGCAATAATATTCCAATTAATTAATTGACACTATGACAGCAAAATCTTCATTTGTTTTAAAAAGTTATTTTGGTTGCCTAAAATTAGGCCTTCTTCGTCAGTTTTTGTCATTTAAAAGTAGACATAGAGGAAATTCCTATCTCTACTTCTAAATGAATATCACTGTAGAATATCTAATATAATTCTATATAGATAACACTTATATTTCCAATATTGGTTCAATATTGTATAGTCAATACGTTTATTATGTTGATATTTCCGTTATTGGTCCTATACTTTAAGTTGCCGTTGCACCATCAACCTATGGGCAAGTCGCTGCTGCCGGGCTCAGAGTGGCAATTGTTCCGGAGGTGAACATCACTGAGCCTCAGTCGAGGTGCACATTCAGTTGTTGACGGGATGGAGGGGAGACCTTTTCCTTAGCTGGCAGAGTTCCGATAGACTGCTTGGAGAGGACCGTCCTTCTTATTTGGCCCTGGGATGGCTGGTGGCCGTGTTATACGCGCTTCCGGATAACACGGCCACCATCTTGAAGCGCTCCCAGAGGCAAAATCCTCGTTTCAGTACAAGTCTATGGATGTTCTTCCGCAGAGAGGAGCCTATTAAGGTCAACTTGCCAACCTGGTGCAAAGCATCACACAAGAACCTTGGATTTTCAGGGGACGAGGCTAGGTACGAGTCTTCGGAGGGACATCCAACTGAATCCTAGGACTTGCATTTATGGCGATAGACGAATCGAGTCTTGTATAATGGTTGATATCCGTTTCAGGGACCCTGTAACTCTAAGACTTCAGCTGAAAGATGTCAGAGGACGGAGCAGGCACTTCGAGGTCTGCTCTCAGCCTATTTCCCGTATGACTTGGGAGAAGCTCCGCCTACCAGTTGATAGAGTACTCAAAATAGTGGTTGGCTGTGAACCAAACTCGTACCGTGTTGTGTGGTGCAGCACGGACACGAACTGGAGAGGCGTGAGGTGAGGTGAATCTTTTAAATTAGGGAGCAGACCCTACCTACATCACAACGCGGAGGTAGGAGGTTATCAATCTGACGTTGGGCTCCTTTTCAATAGCTAACATGATCACAAATTAGAGAGTGTCTGATGAACCGTCGCTTTCGGACCACAGGCACATTTTTTTCCAACTAAACCTGCGGTCCTGTAGGTTTCAGAATCGCCGATCCACTGACTGGGACTGCTATGTGGCGAGATGTTAGATGAACCACCTTTGCTCTGTCGGACGACAAGGCAGGTGGAGGAGGTAGCCGCATTAGTAAGCGACGTCATAACAGCATCAGTAGAGGACAGCTGTAAACTTGTGGATTTTTCGAGGAACGAAGAGAACACCTTTGTGGAACTCAGACCTTGAAAAGGTTCGTAATGAGGTTCACTGTCCCTTTAACAGAAGATCTCAAGATAGCTCAGTGCAGGTATAAGGACCTTCTGTGGTAACATCGAGAATCTTTCTGAAGTACAAAAACTTCGCCAGATTCCTTTGAAAAACCAGGGGAAAAAAGTGGGTACACTGAGGTTTTCCATGCGGTACATATATGTCTATCGCGGGTGAGGCTCTAACATGTATCCTGGAAACACACTTTCTTCGCTCTGGGGAGTACGTAACTCCGACCCACCAAAAAGAGCTACCCCAGTCGATCGACTAAAGTAGCTGTCCGGATGGTTAACACTATCAGCGCATTTAAAAGTGAAGGATCGGATGGTATATTCCAGGCTCTTCTGCAGAAGATCCTGGAACCGCTGCTCGTACATTGGTTGCACCTCCTTAGAGCCTCCTTGGCTTTTATAATAGTAATAATAATCCTTTAATGTCTTACAGAAATAACATTCCAATTACAGGACTCAACTAAATTGTGTAGCAGTATACAGTGTGTCCCAGATCGCGTGGGATTGCGTATGGGTAACTTTCTCATTATTAAAGATAGAGAATTGGTTAAATGGACAATGTTTTGCAGCTTTAGATGCTTATTTAAAATTTCCTTATGGAAATTCAAAATGTCGAATATGTTTAACGTAAATTCAAAAAAACTAAAATTGGTTATTTTCTTGAATGTCCTATACCATCGAAAGTATAAGAGATCTGAGATATAAAAAAAAGTTTTATCGTTGAGTGAAGCTTCACTCAACTGTTTTATATAAAAGTTACTGTCTTTGATATTATTTAATTTACTTTTCAACGAACTATCATAGCATAAGATTGAAAAAAAATATCAGTTATATGAACGGTTTTTTATTTTAATCAAGTAGTCTGTGATGAATTAAAAAAAAAACAAAATCTAATGATATATATAATTATGTATATAATGGATATATCCCGGATTCCTTGTAATCATTTCAAGAATCCTTTCTGCCAGGGACCCGGGCCGGACCGGAAAAGAACCGAAAACCGGATCGAAACCGGTATTTTTTTCTGCACCGAAAACCGAACCGAAATCGTTATTCTTTCAGAAATGGATACGTATTGAGAACCGGAACACATATTACTTTTTTCGGTTCTTTTCGGTTTTTTACGGTTTTTAACAGGTTATTGGAAATTAAAGTATTACTCTTTGATTGCTATCGGTGGATTATAAATGTTTAATAAGGTGTCGAAATTGAAGGCATTACGAGGGCGGTGGCGCTAATTTAGCCACTACTTTAAAAAAATAAAAAAGGAGGGGCGAGGTTTTAGAAAATAAAATTTTCTGTTTTTTAGTAATAAATTAAGTGTAAATACATTTTTCCCTCTTCCTCCTTGATTCCCCTTGTCGTAATTAGCTACACGATACGTCATGGAATTCATGACTTTTTTTTCAATTAAAAAATCACGTTGTTATAATGATTATATAATAATATAATGCCATACATAATCGAAGATAATCGTTATGGACCGAAAAAAATGCGCAGAACCGAACCGTTATTTCATTTTTTTACCGAAACCGGACCGGAACCATTATAAATATTTTCGCTTTAATATAAGCAGAACCGGAACCGATACTTCATTTGGGTCCCGGTCCCTGCTTTCTGCACCGATTCTATTCGCTTAATGTAGCAATTGTATATGGAATTCCCAATAATGGCTGCGTATTCTAACTTGCAACGATTATTATTATTTTTAATTAGTTAGTATAACAGCTAACGTCCAGGATCTTTTAAAACTACTAACTATTCCTTGAAGTAAAAAGCAATCTGTAACAGAAAAAAGATTCTTTTTAATATTTTTAAATCGTCAATCTAAAGCGATACATTTGCGTTGAATGCATTCTGGTAAGTCGTAACAATAATGAACCGAAGTGCGAACCTTGAGGTACGCCCGAGCTAACCGCATATGTCTCAGAGGATGTATTTTGTAATGTAATATATTGTTTATTAATATGAGAACTTTATTAAATTATATCTGATAATCCGTATTTTTTTAGTAATTGGACCACAATGTTACAATGTTGCAATAGTCTAGTGTTAATTTGGCAGTTTTTCTGCAGATCCTAAAATCCAATATTAAAGAAACGTAACAAATCGCGTGCACCTACCGATCACTTTAGCCTTTACCCATTCAAAGAAGAGACTACCAACAAGATCAGTAAACCATCCCCGTTGCTCTATTTCTTGAGAGCCTTGAGGATCGACTGATCCATCAGGTGAAGATATCGAGCTGAAATCGCTCAGTTGCTCCGTATGTGGTGGATTCAGACGCAAGTTATTCAGTGGTAAAACGTACTGAATGCCCTGCAAGTAAAAAACTTAGGAACATCTCAGGTGCGTGTCCAATTTAATCTACCCCATGTCCTAGTCGACGTAAAGGTGGCGGTAATACAGGAAGTTAAATAATTTGGTATCGCAACTTGTATACTTACGATTAGTGTTGTGCGCATAAGTTCCCTGTAATAAATGTACTGGTATAAAATTCGTATAAAGAATATGTTACAAACCAATAGGTGCAATGTTATTAACAGACCGTAGATCAATCGGCACATCATTCCCATATCTTCAACGACCAAGGTATAATTGGTTCGAATCGCTCAAAGTGATCTGTATTTAAACCAAACGATGGGCATCAAAATTTTCACGCTTTAATCTGTGTAAATATCCGTGGTATATTGTCGATTTTCGCGGTTGTGGTTTTACAGATTTATTTATGAAGGTGTGGCAAGCTATTAAAGTAAACTGAAAATTGAAATAGACCGACGCGTGTTGAAGACTCGCACATGAAAATTCGCCCCTGGAAGATTCATCCCAGGAAATTTCGCCAATGTAGAATTCGCGCCCGCCGGAATAATTATTCTCTCGCCAAGATCTCTCTCTAAGGAAAATTAAATTTAATAACATGTACTAAATATTTGGGTTATATAATACTAATTACCTATCATAAAAAAATTACTGCCATTAGTGATAAGAGTTGCGATAAGAGCGGGCGTATATATATTTTAAGGAATGGCGCAATTATAAGTGTTAAGAAATTTCTACTCTACGGTATACCAAAGATCGGTTCAGATCTATCAATATCCACACCCTCAACCTCCAGAATACAGCAAAACGAGAAGAATAAATTAACTGGCATTAAAAGAGAAAAGGAGTATCACTACGTAAACGGGATCACAAGTGGAACAAGGCAATAATTTTATGGAAGGTAGACTTTTTCCAACTCGCACCAACACCCAATCACGCTTCATTCATCCAGGAGACTGATCCTAAACCCCGACATAACCCACCCCGATTTCTCACAATGAAGACTAAAAACCACCCAACCCAGAACATATAACTCAAGAATTCCCAACCTAGAAGAGTACATAGACGATAGTCGTACAGGAAACCCACTAAAAAAATTAATAAAGGATAGAAATTAAGTCCTATTATCTTCGAGTAGGGAACTGTATCCGAAAACGAAAATAAAGAGTAGATACAACCCCTAAAATGGGTTTTGTCCCAACCAACCAAACGGAAGAATTGATCACCGACCAATCCACAACACCCCAGATTGAAATCCTAAGCGTACCAACAACCTTAAAATATCCCATACATATCCTTTAGTTCATACATACTTTATGAAGCGCCACAAATGGTCCGAAAAATTTGGGTGCTAATTTTTCCGAAAATTATTTCTAAGCGTTGGATTGAGGGAAGTTCCTACGGTAAACCTTCTCTCCGTCTCAAGTCATACTAGCCCTTATGCAACGTCATTCAACAGCTTACATAGGGCCTTGTTTCTTTTCTGATAATCTGTAGGTCGAGCGGTTTCGACATCTCCAGCTGTAGCTCCTGCTTGTTATCCTTCAACATGATCTGTAGAGTCTTATTCACTCGTTCAGTGGGATTAGCAAGAGCGTGATAATCTGCTGTAAAAATTTATTTCACTCCATACGACCCTTGTTGTTCTTGAAACTCTTTACTGCAAAACTGACAAAGTTGACCGAAAACTAAGAGTCATTGATCCTCGACTCCTGTGTAAATAGGTTTTTGATTTCACCAACGGTCCTCTAAAATCCACGGGTACAACCCTAAAGGGTTCCTTTATAACCTGCCGAACAGGCATCAGGCCCGCCTGCTTCTTTGTTCTGTTCCGGTAAGGCAGACATTACAAGTTTAGGAAACCCCTGCATGACCCGCGCTTGCATAAGCATGACACGTTCGTAAGATCTCTTCCCGGTCATCTTTTGGGACGACATTTTTCCACCGCTGTTCTTTGATAGGTTTCCGAACGACCTGACCAAAATACCTATCAAGTTTGATATTCAGAACTCGCCAATCGGGATATTTCAACGAACTCCCAATTACCATATCGATCATACTACGATACCTTCTATCCTTAATTTCATTTTGTGCGATGTTTTCTCCTTTAGCCACGTCTACAACTGGTACGGAGCGAGATTCTTATAAATTAAATCGAAAGTTGGAGACGAAGGTTCCAACGACCAAGCTTACCTGAAGGTTGTTTCAAGTTCTTCAGCCACAATAAGGACCAATGGTGTGTGATTACCTTAAAGTGGGTTCCTTCAATATAGGGTCGAAGTTTCTAGATGCTCCACAGTACCACTAAATACTCCCTTTGCGATGTGTAGTAGCAGATTATGATTTCCCCTTTCTCCGGATAATTCTGACTCAAGACGTCCCCTATGCCAAATGAACCTGCATCCGTCTGGACAGGACAATATGGGAACTGGTCTCTGCTGCTCAAAAACTGGCGGTAACGTCATCTAGATATTTAAAGCAATAGGGCTCCAAATCTACCCCCATAACTCTATCTATTAAAATTTGCCAGGTTGATGGCGCTGTATGCAGACCAAACGGAAGCCTTTTGAATTGTAGTAACCCACGCGACGGTACCATGAATCCGATTAAGGGATGAGATTGATCATCAAGGGGAATTTGCCAGTATGCCGACTTAATATCTAGACTCTTAATCTGTCTAAAATATTCGAAATGTAAGGCAGGGCCTCGCGCATATTGACATATTCACCATTACAATTGGGTTGCTCCAAGGACTTGTCGATGGTTCAATTATAAACGTGAAATTCAACGTCGATTTCTTTTTAAAATGCTGGAGATATTGGGTTATACATCTGTTTAATTGGTTCTATATTATCTTCCACCTGAATTTTATGTTCCACTAGATAAGTGCAACCGAAATCTTCCCATATTAGTCCAAAAGCCCACCCCAAATATCAGGAACTAGCTTAATTTAGGAACAACAAAAATATTGATGATTTTGTCACCGTTGGAGCATTTGGAGCCGAGGTTCACTGAACTAAATTTCCTATAGGGCAATTTGAAGGGAAATATTCCAGGGTATAACGTCCCGTTACTGCGTTGAATGTACTCCAAGTTTTAGTGAGTGATTTAATGTACTTTTAGTGTGTTATCGAGTACAAAATGGGAATCTGGAATACCATTCCTGTCGCGATCATGAAATGAGAGGGATCTATCTTGCGGAAGATGTTGAAATCTGAAGTGGAAAATCCCAAGCCATTGAGTTAAAATTGTCGAAATTATTTATCTGAACGTATTTACGTCAATGCGCCGTTGTTCGTATCTTTCTGAGGTAATCGGACTTATTTGGTTAACCACATTTATTTTCACATTATGCCATCTGATTTAATTTAATTACGTATATCGCAATCCGAAACTCGTTTATTAATGGGGTACATCAGTTCGAATTAGTTGATTTGTCTACCTAACGATGAAAAAGTACCGTTGTTCTGTATGAAATGCCAACCCTCATTTTAGAATCGAAGATTTGCCGGTTAACTGGAACCCATGGTATCTAAGATCGACGAACTGCTACGCAAATGATTATTTGAAATACCGGAGCTGCCAACGTGCAGGTAAACTGTCTCTTTAGTTTATCTTGGCCTTTCCCTTTGCCATTATCGCGACGAATTGCTTTCCAATTGATTACCTGAACAGAAGTTGGTGTTCGAGCTTATCTAAAGGGTGTACTACTCTTCTTGTTTCACGTAGGGTTCGGTTGCTCCTCTACTTGCGTGTGATAACAAGGCTGTACGGCGATAGGTTTTGGCAGATATATTAATGTACACAATGTAGTCTCAAATTTATTGAAATATGTACTACAATCACAATACGGAATTTATCTGAATTTGTATGATTTGAGTCTTTATGGTCTTACAGTCTTGCGATTATTATCCTGATGAGTATAAAATCCAATATTAAGAAACGTAACAAATTGCGCGCACTTACCTGAAAATACTCCCTTTAGCAGTTCGTAGATGGTAGTACTCAAGAGAACAGCCAGACCCCAGAATGCTCGTTGCTCTATTTCTTCAGGAGGATCGCTGGATTCGTGACGTGTAGATATCGAGCTCAGATTGCTCTGTTGCTGCTCATGATGCGGTGGTATCGGACGATAGTTGTTGAGTGGTAAAACATACTGAAAGCTCTGTAAGTGAAACACTTAGGAACATCTTTGGTGCGTGTCCAATTTAGCCTACCCCATGTCCTAGCCCATGTAAAGCTGTCGGTAACACAGGTTGTTAAAGAATTTCGTATTGCAGATTGTATACTTACGGTGATTAGTGATCTCCGTATATGGTCCCTGTAATAAATGTACTAGATGAAATTCGTATGAAAGATATGTTACAAACCAATAGGTGCAAAGTTATGAATATAGTGTAGATTAATCGGTACATTATTCCAAGATTCTCAACCAAAGTTGAATTGGCTCGAATCACTCAAAGTGCCTATTTAAACCAAACGTTGCGCATCAGTATTTGCACGCTTTAATTTTAATCCGTGGGTTATTGCTATTATATTGTCGCTTTTATCTAAATGTTTCGCGGTTTTGCTTTAACGGATTTATTTATGAAAATGTTGCAAGCTATTAAAGTAAACTGAAAATTGAAATAGCCCCAACCCAGAAGCGTGCCTAGGGATAGACGCAGAGGAAACCCAAGCATTCATTGGTTCACACCGCCATTCTGACACTAAAAATGAATGACTGGTGAATGGTAATTTGGGAAGAGCTCAGGTGTTCGGGCGGGGTATTAGGGATGGAAAGATATAGCAACCTAACCCATTTAATTGATATACACCAAGGCCCCAGCCAGCCAACCCATAATATCTAGCTTCGCAAAACGAGAGTAGTCCAAATCGAGGGTAAAATCAAAGTCAGGATGTCCCTTCCAACTGAACCAATCGATAAGCAAAACAATTAACTGCGATCATCTGGTGGAAAGAAAGGCTTCATCTTGTAAATGACATGTACCAGCGCGGGGAATCCTTGTTGTGTATTGCTTTAACTTGCATCGGTGGACAGGTTTGAAGGTGTAGGGTGGCAAACGAAACGCCCAGCGAGTTAAGCGTCATTGGGAATCCTTGAGCGAGTGTAACCATAATAACGACTGGTGGTCGATGACGACGAAAGTACTCCCTCTAAATAATGTACTCGGTGGTGGTATAATTGCCCTCGGAGCGAGATAAGTATCGAGACAGATAACATATCACACGTTCCCCATCGGGAAAAGATTGTGTTAAAACAGCACAGCAAAGTGTCAGTTTGTAACTTAAATGGTCGAAAAAAATCGGCACAGCTGAAGATAGGCGC